GTCACGCCTACCAGAGTCACTGTACAAGGCAATCACTTAAGTGGTTGTGGAGATAGGCAAGGAAAGGAAGAGGGGAAGGAGGGGGGGGTAGTGATTGCAACGCCCCGCTGAGTGACTGGATTTGAATGAGAGGGGTGGGGTGGGGAGCCTGGGACATTACGCGTGGCCCTGGGGGCCCTGCAGCGAGGGCGGCATACGTACGCACCGAGGGCGCCGTACGCACCGAGGGCGCCGTACGCACCGAGGGCGCCGTACGCACCGCACCGAGCCCTACGCACCGCACCGAGGGCGCCGTACGTACGCACCGAGGGCGCCGTACGTACGCACCGAGGGCGCCGTACGTACGCACCGAGGGCGCCGTACGTACGCACCGAGGGCGCCGTACGTACGCACCGAGGGCGCCGTACGTACGCACCGAGGGCGCCGTACGTACGCAACGATGGCGCCGTACGTACACACCGAGGGCGCCGTACGCACCGAGGGCGGCCGACAGTGCCACAATGTCCCAAAGCCCTGGGATAACGTTACCCAGACGTACCGATGGCGCCAGACTGCGTTTTCTGCCTTGGCCTTGGGGAACGCGCGCGCGCCACAATGGCGGTACCTGACTAAACCAAGCCCCACCGCACGTACCGATGGCACCCAACAGCGTCTTTTGCGTGAGGTGGTCCTCCGCCTTGGGGAACGCGTGCAGCTTCGAGATCGCGTCCCATTTCCCGCCCATCGCAAATCACTCGCTTGCCAAACCGAGCGCTCTCGTGTCCGATCGAGCGCTCTCCCTCCGCTGACCGTTGCGCCTCGCCTTTCACGAAAATCGGTTCGATTCAGAGCGTTCGCGGCGCAACGGCTTGTGCTTTCGCGGTGCTTCAAGTGAAGGAAGCCGGCGAGGTTGGAACGAGCGTACGCCGCTCCGAAACGTATCGCGCGTGAAGGACGTGGAATTCTAAGCGAATTCTATGTGTTATATATGCATATATATACATATATATATTTTTTATGGAATACACTATAACATGCATCACATCCGGCAGTCGTAACTGATTCAAGAGGAGGGGAGATGGCATACAGACCTGCCACGTCCTCCTCGTAGGCCACTACGGAGGTTTAAATAACGTCCTCGGGCAGGCCCAGATCGATCCGAACCCGTCTCTCCACGTCAGCGAACCCCCATCCTTGAAAATCTTGCTCATGGCCACCGCCTCGCCAGCCGACAAATGGCCCCACTGCCCCTTGCCACTGCTGCCCCGGTGTCTTCCCTTCATAGCTGCACTGTAGATCCTCACGTGCCTCAGAAAATTGACCCCGATCTTCCTTAGGACTCTTTTTGGCTGGAAACTTTCCGCCCTGAACACGGCTCCGCACCTTTCTAGCCACACCTGCTGAAACGTCATCGCAACTAAGGTCATCTCTGGAAAACCCGATGCCGTGCCCTCACCCGCAAAGAGCAGATCACCCAAGGACCCCATCGGATGGCCCGAATTCAGCAGTTGCAGAGATTCCTTGAGCGCGCCGATGACACCCTGGATGGCTGGGCAGTCCAGCAGACAGTGACTCATCGTTTCCATCTCCCCGCAATGAGGGCAGCACGCATGGGGACCGAGGAAGGGCAGCCTGCTGCCCACCTGCAGGTTCATGCAGTGCACCCTCAGCAGGATCTCTCTCGCACGGGAAGGGATCGCCAGTGAGTCCCTCTTCTTGATCACCTCTCTCCAGTCGATAGCTCCCTTCCACTCCTCCTCCCACTTTGTCTGCTGCACCGGCTTCGTGGTTTTCCTCTGCAGCAGTTTCCGCAAATGTTTCTATTTCACCGCTAAACCTCCTTCGCACAGGAAGGACTGCCGCAGACGTGTCGTCGGCATGCCAGCCGTCCCCAGGGACACACCATTAATCGCCACCACCGGGACAAGCCGACAGGCAGCGATCGTGGACGGTGTTACAGTCGCGAAAGTCGATAGTTTCCCGGTCGCATCCACTGCCGACAGCTTCCCTACCACGTTCGCCCCATCATCTGCAGTTAGGGTCCAGTATAGAGGCTTACCACCTCCACGCGGCTCCAGACATGCCACCTCCGAGACCGCCCTCAGCTCCGCACCTGTACCCGGCTCGAGAAGCTTCGCCCTCCATTCGTCCGGTGCCGCTCCCCACGCTCTTAGAGCCCACCGCGCGGCAGTTGAGCTCCCCATCATCTTGGTTAGCGACCGCATGTCCTTGACCGAGCGACTCCCATCCCACTCAGTGTGCACCAGGCCGCCCATCTTCCACCCTTTCAGACACTCCGAGCCTTTCTGACATCCGAAAGGGCTCTTCCCGCAGAAAAGGATCTTCCGGTTAAACCACAGTTGTTCCTGCTCCAAGTCCCACCGATGTGTCGGATCCGGGGGAGCAGGAGCTTGCTTGCTCCAGTACGCTTGCATCATAAGCCTCCACCTCTCACTCTTCACCGTCCACTTGGTCTGTGTTGCTTTGTGTGCCAGCAGCGTGGCCCAGCCCAACGGCATGTTTGCTGCCCACACCGACAACCAGCGCTTCATCGGGTCCCGTTCCGCCACTGCCGTCCCCAGGTTGTGCAAAGCCCCGCTGTTGATTCTGTCCAGCGGATTGATTACCCCCAGTCCGCTTTCTTTCCTCTCCGTGCAGGCAAGATCATGATTCCAGAGAATAAAGCGATTCTCTGTAGATGCACACCCTCCCGAGGTGTAGTTGTGACCCAGCTTGCGAATCCGCTTCCGGAGCGTCTGCGGCGGCGGGTATACTTGTGCCTGAACGAGAAGTATCGGTGACGCATACGCATTAAGCACCGACACCCGTGCCCTTGTTTGCAGGTGCTGCTTTTCCCATGTGGCGAGGACGCCGCTGGCATTTCGAAAGCTTTGTCCCATGACGGACCGGGGTCGCCACCTGGGGTGATCCAGACCCCAAGCAATCTCTCCGACTTCCCCTCCTCCGCCCACCGGTAAGCCACGTCCTCCGGCTTCGACCTGGCTTTATTCCGCCCCAGCGGTACCACGGTGGTTTTGTCCGTATTGACGCGCAGGCCCGAAGCGCCGCCAAAGTCGTTAAGAAGCTTCTCCACTTTACCGATTTGACTCTCCCCGTTCAAAAAGAGAGTCGTATCGTCCGCGTAACCCAAGTAGCCTATCTCCCGGATTTCCCTTCTTCCGCAGGCCCAGCTTCCTCCGTTTGATCTCTTGGCACAAGGGCTCGACCGCGCAGATGAAGAGGTATGGCGCCAGCGGGCAGCCCTGCCGCACCCCCCTCTCCATCAGCACCTCCTCTCCAAGCCAGCCGTTGAGAAGCAGCCGCGTCCCCGACCCTTCGTGGAGGCCCTTCACCCAGTTCACATATTCCGCCGGGAAGCCCATCTTATCAAGCGTCCTGAAGAGGAACTCCCGCGAGATAGAGTCGTAAGCCTTCTGAAAGTCAACCAACAACAGGTACAAATCTTCCTTTCCAGTAGCCGTTGCATCAATTGCGTCTGCCACCACCTTAACCGCATCCGCCAGCTTCCTTCCTGGGAGAAAGCCGAACTGGTTTTCAGAGATGACGTTGTGCAGAACCCGTTTGATCATGTTCGCCGGTAGTTTAGCAATGATCTTGTATGTAGCGCTTAACAGGGTGATCGGTCGGTAATTACCTAGCTGTTTCTTATCCCCTTTTTTTTGCAGAAGAATGGTGACAGCGGTCGAGACACGGCGAGGAAGCATCGATGTTGTCTCGAACCCTCTCATGAAGCGCAGGAAACTCGGGCCCAGCAGATCCCAGTTTTTCTCCAGCACCTCCTTCGGCAGGCCGTCCTCGCCAGGCGCTTTACCCTTCGGCAGCTCCTTGACAGCCGTCCGTATCTCCTTATCAGTCCACGGCGCCATCAGAATCCGCTGCTCCTCCTCTGTCAGCCGCTTTAGTGGCGCGGTGATTGTCAGACATATATGACTTAGTCTGTGTAGGCTATAGTGGGGTAGACACTAAGGGGTACAAGTTTCTAGGGTTTCATATTTGTACTCAACACTTTCCTAGTTCATTCATTCCTCGTAATACTCACAGTGATGTTGCATTCACCCTCCGCAACCTCCGGCCGTAAGCGGAAGATATCGCGGAAAAACTCCGAAGCTGCCCCGAGGACCTCCTTCATCCTGCTGAAACATTTACCCCCCAGCTCCACCTCCTCGATCTCCGTTTTTTTTTTCCTTGTTGCGATCCTCCCCGACAGGCACCCTGACGGAAGCTCTCCTACCGTTTCGACCTCCACTTCCCCCATCGTCGACAATCTGTCACGGCGACCGCCTTGGTAAGTTTTCAGCATCGATTCGTACTTCACCAATTCCTCATACTTGCCGAAGCCAGCCGAGTCCCCCATGAACTCCTGCTTAAGTGACGACACCCTCGCCTCTAGATGGTCCGTCGTTTTTTTTATTCTATGGTAACAAGACTCGACGTTCAATGTCGTATGGGTTGCGTAGGTGCTAAATACTCGATATAGACGCAACACCTGCCAAACAAGTGACTAATGTTCATGTGTCATTCCCCCATCTAAAAGTGTTTCGTCTCATACATAATGCATTTTTGTCTGTATGTTACGACTAACGAATAATAAAAAAAACCGACCTTAAAAGGATTATTTTATACAAATATTACGATAGTCACAATAATAATACTATTTGTTGTAATAATAATAAGTTACTGATTATGTGCAATTACTTGTAGTGTGATAAGTGATCCTAGAACTGTATGGAACACGGGACTCCGTTTTTGCTTTCGTCATATTCTAGAGCTGACACAAACAAAACGTGAAATGTACAGTTCAGCTTTAGCTGAGTCACTTGAATTTCACGTGCTCACGCGTGCAAACAGCTCGATACCAAACCCCCACACATCACAAGAAACTAGTTCATTCCAGCAGGTGAAGACCAAGCCTGGGGAAGCAAGGCCATTTGGCCTTAATGCCCTGAACATTCTGGGTTACTCTCAGGGAAAGTAGCAATCTTAAAGTTTAGGCTTGCAAGTCACCTTGACGCGTCAAGGGTTTCAATCAGGCCTGGCTCGCCCTTTTTCTGCTTCCCCCCCTCCCCTTCCCTGCTTTCCCGCATCCCCTTCCCTGCTTCCCCCCATCCCCTTCCCTGCTTTCCCGCATCCCCTTCCCTGCTTCCCCCCATCCCCTTCCCTGCTTTCCCGCATCCCCTTCCCTGCTTCCCCCCATCCCCTTCCCTGCTTTCCCATGTCCCCTTCCCTGCTTCACCCCATCCCCTTCGCTGCTTCCCCCCATCCCCTTCTCTGCTTCCCCCCATCCCCTTCCCTGCTTCCTCCCATCCCCTTCCCTGCTTCCCCCCATCCCCTTCCCTGCTTCCCCATGTCCCTTTCCCTGCTTCCCCCCATCCCCTTCTCTGCTTTCCCCCATCCCCTTCCCTGCTTTCCCCCATCCCCTTCCCTGCTTTCCCCCATCCCCTTCCCTGCTTCCCCCCACCCCCTTCCCTGCTTTCCCCCCTCCCCTTTTCTGCTTCCCCCACTCCCCTTCCCTGCTTCCTCCCATCCCCTTCCCTGATTCCCCATGTCCCCTTCCCTGCTTCCCCCCATCGCCTTCCCTGCTTTCCCCCATCCCCTTCTCTGCTTCCCCCCATCCCGTTCTCTGCTTCCCCCCATCCCCTTCTCTGCTCCCCCCCATCCCCTTCCCTGCTTCCTCCCATCCCCTTCCCTGCTTCCCCCCATCCCCTTCCCTGCTTCCCCATGTCCCCTTCCCTGCTTCCCCCCCTCCTCTTCCCTGCTTCCCCCCATCCCCTTCCCTGCTTCCCCCCATCCCCTTCTCTGCTTCCTCCCATCCCCTTCCGTGCTTTCCCCCCTCCCCTTTTCTGCTTCCCCCCATCCCCTTCCCTGCTTCCCCCCATCCCCTTCCCTGCCTTCCCCCATCCCCTTCCCTGCTTCCCCATGTCCCCTTCTCTGCTTCCCCCCATCCCCCTCTCTGCTACAAAAGACCTCAACACAGCTAGATTCAGGTAGTACCCTGTCACACAAGAAGATGCAACAAGCCAGACACACGAGCTGAAACAGGCAAGTCAGCTTTGAACAAGTCAGTGGTCATTCCTAACCCTACAACTCCTCCCTTCTAATAAGTATCATCAAGTCCCACAATCAGCTACACGCCAACGATGAAATGGAAGCGTGAGCAGCTCGACTGTCCTGGTCCGCATCTCGCTTAACACTCTGGCAGTCACACCCACTTCCACAACCCACCACCGCTTGTTTTCTTGGGCTCTACCTGCCTTTCCATTGCTCCACTTGCAAAAGGTAGGAGCCAGATTGGGTAACTTCTAGGAGAAGTTACCCAACCTGGGAGATAGCTAGATAACGCACAGTAAAGTGCTGCAGAGACAGCAGCCAACACGATCTGCAGCTGATGAGGGCGTGTTGGTTGCAGAAGCAACAGCAACAGCAGGAGAAACCGCAGCCAACAGAAAACGATGACCTTGACATTCGCCTGCACCTCACTCTCTCAGGGAACATACCCTCGCGCCTCTCTCAGCTCCTCCAAACCGGTCTCCTTCATAATATACACCATGGAGATATTGGTGAGCTTATTCCCCTGCTGGTGCAAGATGCATGCCTCCCCCCCCGAATTAACCTGTCGCACGAGCGCCTGCTCCCCTGTACCCAGAATCGTGAAGTTGCCCCACTTGAGTCCCCCCAGGTGCATGAACAGCGAGCTGTAGTGGTCCAGCTTGATGAACGGCGCCGCCATCACCGCCGCCGCGCCCCTGTGCCCGGCGAGCCGCGCGTCGTCCATGACGCGCTGCTTAGGCTTGGCGGGCAGGCGGTGGAACGGCGACATGGCGGAGTCGAACTGCACCGTGCGGTTGTTCCGCCACGCCGCTCTGCTCGCCGACTCCGCCGCCTCCGCCTGCGCGCGCACCGCCTCCGCCACGTCGCTCGGCGATTCCCACGCGGCGCGCACGGCGGAGGGGTCGGGGTTGGGCGCGCGCGGCATGTCGCGGAAGAGGTACTGCTGCGCGAGGAACGCGAGAATGAACCCGCGCTGGTCCTGCATGCAGTCGCGTACGTAGATCAGATCGATGATCTCCGCCACAGCCCACGCGTACCCGCCATAAGCTCCCGCATTAAGAAACCGATTCACAGACGAATTTCTTTTATGAGGAAAGTACGGCTCTAGCTTCTTCCAATCCGGCCAGCAGAATATCTCCGCGCCGAAAACTACGGGCGCGTTGAGCGCGAAGAAGGCGTCGAGGAAGTTTTGCGGGCGGCATTTGGGGTGCGGCATGAGAAAGACGTCGTCGGCGTCGGTGGTGATCACGACGCGATCGCGCGGCAGCGCCACGAGGAAGTCGCGGATGGCGCGCAGGCGGCCGCCTTGGCCCGTCCACGGCTGGCGGCTTCCGATTATGGAGAAGCTGATCCCCGCCATGTGCGCGAAATCCGCGAGGCGCACCATGTTTACCCCGCATTCAGACGAGTAGATTACCCACTCCAGCAGGCATCCCGACTGGGAGAACCTGTTAGGAGGCAGCGGATGGTTATCCCACGGATCCGCCCTCGCGTCGTACTTCACCGTGCACCCGTCAGCAACCTGGTGCTCCGCCTCCCCGCGTTCGCGCAAGTCCCGCCCGCGCGCCATCAACGCCTCCCCTTTGGCGACGGCGGCTTCAACCAGATTCGTGCACTTCTGCGAATGCAGGTCCGACAGCATGTTTAGCTTGAATAGATGTCCCGCGCGCTGCGTCACGCACGAGTCCCACGTGTCGCGGAACTCCTCCGCCTGCGGCGAGAGGTCGGTGGCAAACATGGTCCAGTAGCAGATGTACGTAAAGACTACGAGTGCAAATGCAGCGCATCCGAGCACGAGGCGAAGGACGAACGCGATCTTGGAGGAGCAACACAGGCGGAAAGCATGAGAGATTAAACTTGGAATAGGCGCCATGGGAGAGGACTGCACGACTGCTTGAAGTGCTACATTCCTGGAACTATGATATTAGTGGTTGATAAGGACGTGACGCAAACTGTGGGAGACGCTGGAGGGACTGCTCCCTGCTGAAGGGTTTTAAACTGTGAGAGCAAGGGTTAAAACCCTTAGGACGCGGTAAAAGTGAAAGATCGATCCCATTAGGGTCGTTTTGTAATGCGGTTCTAGCAGGTTCTGTATTTGTTTGCATGCGAAAGAATGTGAACATCGGGAGTGCAGTGCGGTGGCGGTTCGATATTTTCCCCGATACCGGCACTTATACAGTGTCCTTAGGCCACAGCTTTCAACATTAGGGCGTGTTGCAAGTACGCGATCGATACTCTCTAAACCGAACCTTGAGGAAGTGCAACACTGTAGAGTCTGGTTACCATTCTACAGTTCAACACTGTGCAAGACTGAAAGAGGTGGCGAGTGCCCGATCGGTCGCTTTGGCAGTCACGATTGATCGTGAGCTCGCCAATAATGCACTGTCATTAGGCAATCGTGGTGGTACAAAACCCAACGATTTTTTTGCGGATCGTTCGTATCGAGGCTCATACACCGAGCCCAGGATCTACTGTCACGCTCGGTGAGCGGTTCGGCGCCCTTAGGAAGGCTGCTTGGGAATGAAAACCCGATTGGCCGGCGAACTGAGGAAGTGTCGAGATTGTTGGACGAGCTTCGCGTGCTACAGTTAAATTCGCGTCAGTTACCCGGGTTGAAATGCGACATGAACACAATCGCCAAACAGCTGTCGCACGAAGCCTAAAGCGACAACTCACACTAACTCGTCTCTCAATCTCAATTTCCAACACCATTTCACTGCATTACCATGGAGTAACCTACGCCGACTACTCGTAGCTAGAAAGTTTAGCTCAGAGCGCGGGCACAGCGCGGCCATCGTCAAGTACGGTTGTCCAAAACTACGAGGTCATTACGCCCTGACGAGAGCTGGCATTCCGCGATTCCCGAGTATGCCTACGCGGGTAGGGTATGAACGTCATCGCGGAAAAGGGAAGGGCGAAAAACAACTGAAAAGTTACTACCCCGTAACTTTTCCGTTGCATTGCGCTCGCAAAAAAAAAGTCTGAGTCGAAAACAGTGGTAGCACAGGTCACTTGCGAAGTGACTTTGCCGTCACTTTCTTGGCGAAAACTGTACACCTTGGGGCAACTGTAAGGTGTACAGTAAAGCAACCAGGGAGTTGCTAAACGTCACTTTTGGGCAACCTAGGCGAAAGTGTATCTGAGCGGCCACGTGGCAAACGACGTACTCGAGATGAAACTGAAACATGCTGACGTGGCTGGCAACGTACGCTAACGACAGCCGTCAGATCAGATTAAAATCGACGCACTTAAAGGTACCTTGTCGACCAATCACAGAGCATTTTTGGTGTGCGAAAACAATTTCCTATTGGCGAACGATTGGATTCTATTTAGCCAGTTTCGATACACGTTACACTTGCGTAGTTTAACACAAATGAGCGGATATGCCGTTTCCTTTAAATATCAAACGTTGGCATGTACAAATCGACAGTACAATCTACCCAATCCAACTTGGCCTACTGATCATACAGCACTGCTAGTAGATGTATCGGTTTGGGCTGCTTCTTAGTATTGCCTGCAAGAAAACATGACGAGCCTGAAATTGTAAAACATGCAAATCAAGTATGCATTTCTGCACTCACCAATTAATTATATTGGGCCTGGTATGCAGAAATGGTTACACAAATATACCATGCGATTCTGCTTGTCGATAAGCCAGCAAAAACACGCATTCCCTGCAAAACATGCAAAAACACCCTGCTGTTACGCATCCCGCAAAAATTGCTCCGCCGGGGTTAGTGTAAGAAAATGTTGCTACTTAGCAAACGACACATACTTAACCGATGCAGAGTTAGTCGCGGTTGCCCGAGCGACAATGGTTACACACGGGATGACTGAGATGCCGGTGCGACAAGCTTGGTCGCACCCGTAATGGAAGGCACTGCCAACGTAAAAAACTATGAATAAACACGTGGAGATGCAAACATAGGACACATGGCGCTAAGTGATGAGCTTACAGAACAGAGAACACACGGCAACCCAGTCAATAGCGTAGGAAAAAACATATACCTCACCAAAAATACTACTTACCTAACATCTCGCACTGCCGGTAGCCAAATAGAAGATCGCACGTCTGAAATGGAGGTTAGAAAGGGGGCGAGTGAGAGGGAAAGAGTGAAAACAGGAGAGGAAACACACAAGCCGAGCGATGCGCACTGTACGGAACCGTCGAACAAGACATGTAGAGCAGTTGATCAATGATGAAAAAACGTATACCACACGAGCGAATCCAAGACTTTTCGCATCGTTCAAAGAAGAAAAACAAACAAACATACCTGCCGGAATGCGTCTTAGCATCACTACGTGCTCGGAAATCCACCGCGGAAACGCAGCAACTCGACAATCTGCAAAGGGGAATGGGACGTTGTGAGGGGTGGAGGACAGTTTAGAATGAGGGGTCAGGAGGACTTCTGAATGACCTGCAGTTGAAGCTAGTAAGGGTCTTCGAACAGAACGAAAATAAACACAGGGTTGCAGTATGTACCTACAAGGAAGGAATACAGGTGAGAGGGAGAGGAAGAAGAATCTGTTGGTCAGAGGTGTGGTCTGCTGATGTGGCGATATTGGAGGTTGGGGGTTGATTGGGTGGCGGTTGGTCTGGTTTGGTGTGCTGACGTGAAGATAAGGGAGGGGAGGGATTGATCGACTGTTTACAAATGATTGGTTGCTAAAATTTGTTTGGCTCACACGTCAGACTGTAGAAGAGGTTTCGGTTCAGTTTGGAACCAAAGCGAAAAAAGTAGTATCCACATGTACAACCTCGCTAGATTTCGTGGAATCGTTTTGTTTCGTTAAAATAGTTGTTCCCATCTCAAACTCATTGTCACTGTGCGTAACCGCTTTAAACCACGCGGAGATGTGGACGCGGCATTCCAGACACTTTCGAGTGACTTTTTTGTTAGCGGACAAACTGACGTTACCACTGGCGCCCATGTATCCAAACGGGTGTGCAGTTTTTGGCAACCCCCCGCAGCTTTCTGGCAACATTTTCGCAGAAAAACCTTCGGAGCCCCAATTTCGACATTTTCCTTTTCCGCGATAGTGCTACGAGGTCATTACGCCCTGACTGAACATATCCAGCGCCACGATTAACCTATGCACGCGCCACGGTTACCCTTCCCTCACGCCGCGATTCACAAGAACCGCGCGCAGTTTGTGCGTAGGACGCTCACGCCGATTCTCTGGGCTTCCTTCACGCCTCTTCACCGCCCTCCCATCACCCCTCCGGTGTTGGCTGTCCGTCGTCCACCTCCCTTCCCTTCCCTTTCCTATCCCGCTACGTCCCATCCCTTGCTTTCCCTGCCCTTCCCTTCCCTTCCCAATCCGCTCCCTTGCCTTCCCTTGCTACTGCTTCCCTTAGCTTCCTTTCCTAACTCTTCCTTCCCTTCCCTTCCTGTACCGTGACTTGGACTCCTCTTCCATTCCCTTCGCCACCCTTCCTTTCCTTTGCCTCCCTTCCCATCCATTCCCCTTCCGTCAGTCTAAAGCACCGTTTCCCTCAGCACCCCTAGTTTCCACTCCCTTCCCTTCCGTCCCCTGTTTAGGAACCTCTACCACTCCCATTCCTTCCTTCAGTACCACCCCCTTCCCTTCCCGCTTATCCCTTCCGTTCCCGCTCATCCCTTCCCTTCCCGCTTATCCCTTCCCTTCCCGCTCATCCCTTCCCTTCCCGCTCATCCCGTCCCTTCCCGCTTATCCCTTCCCTTCACGCTTATCCCTTCCCTTCCCGCTTATCCCTTCCCTTCCCGCTTATCCCTTCCCTTCCCGCTTATCCCTTCCCTTCGCTGCTCATCCCTTCCCTTCCCGCTTATCCCATCGCTTCCCTTCCCATCTCTAGGCATCCCTTCGCTTCCCTGCCTTGCCCATCCCTTGCCCCATCCCTTCCTTTCTCTCCCCTTCCATTCCCTTGTCGCCCCCCCTTCCCCCTCATATCTTCCCTTCCCCTCGTTCTCTCCTTACACGACGTAATACCTCAGATTCTCACCGTTCTTCACTTCGCTGCCCCCTCTCTATTCCCTGTGTTGTCTTTCCTCCACTTCTCTGCTTTCCCGCATTCATGCGGGCCTCACATTGGTCCCAGGGTTTAACGCGGGTGTTCTCTTCCCATCACGTGCCTTCACCCTTCCCCTCTCACGACCGTGCTCTTCCACTCACGCATCCAACCCCATCCCGTCCCCCCTGCCATTACCCTCTCTCGCGCTCCCATTTCCTTCCCCGACTCCCACCCGCCCCTTCCCCCTCTCCCCCGCGTCCAGTGCCCCACTGCCCCCCTTCCATTTCCCCACTCCGCCACGCCCATGCCCCCACTTCCCCTGTTCTTTCACCGTCTCCCCTCCGTCCTTTTCCCCACTCCCACCCGTCCATTCCCCCATCCCCCCCCCGTCCAATACCCCACTCTCCCTCGCCCTTTTCCAACACAGTAATCCTCCCTTTCCCCAACGCCAACCCTCCCCTTCCCCAACGCACCTCCCTTTCCCGCACCACCACCCGCCCTTTCCCCTACTAACACCCTCCCTTTTCCCCACTCCTACCCCCCCTTTCCCCCACTCCTACCCTCTTTCCCCCACTCCACCTCGTCCCTCCCCGCACTCCCCCCGGTCTTTCCCCCACTTCCCCCCGTCCAATCCCCAACTTCCCCTCTGAAACTTTCCCCACTCCCCCAGGGCCACACCGCCTTTTTGACCGTGCATGCCCTCCGCTCCCAACACGCCTCTTCGTGGGAACCATGTCATCCTCTCTTCCCCCTACTACCCCAGTCATTCTCTCTTCTCGCTGCTTCCCCTGTCATCCTCCCTTCCCCCTGCTACCCCAGTCATCCTCCCTTCCCCCTACCCCAGTCATCCTCTCTTCCCCCTGCTACCCCAGTCATCCTCTCTTCCCCCTGCTACCCCAGTCATCCTCTCTTCCCCCTGCCACCCCAGTCATCCTCACTTCCCCCTGCTACCCCTGTCATCCTCCCTTCCACCCTGCTACCCCAGTCATCCTCCCTTCCCCCTACCCCTGTCATCCTCCCTTCCCCCTGCTACCCCAGTCATCCTCTCTTCCCCCTGCTACCCCTGTCATCCTCCCTTCCACCCTGCTACCCCAGTCATCCTCCCTTCCCCCTACCCCTGTCATCCTCCCTTCCCCCTGCTACCCCAGTCATCCTCTCTTCCCCCTGCTACCCCAGTCATCCTCTCTTCCCCCTGCTACCCCAGTCATCCTCTCTTCCCCCTGCTACCCCTGTCATCCTCCCTTCCACCCTGCTACCCCAGTCATCCTCCCTTCCCCCTACCCCTGTCATCCTCCCTTCCCCCTGCTACCCCAGTCATCCTCTCTTCCCCCTGCTACCCCAGTCATCCTCTCTTCCCCCTGCTACCCGAGTCATCCTCCCTTCCCCCTACCCCTGTCATCCTCCCTTCCCCCTGCTACCCCTGTCATCCTCCCTTCCCCCTGCTACCCCAGTCATCCTCCCTTCCCCACCCTCCCTTCCCCACCCCCACTCCCCTCTCCTTCCTCCCTCCGTTCTCCACCAGGTGCGCGATAAGACTGTCAGGGGCCTGGCATTTGGGTTTACATCGTCACCTCCCCTCCCCCGCCCCCACCCCCACTCCCCTCTCTTCCCTCTCTTTGCTCGCCGATGTCAGGCAGACGATAAGACTGTCAGGGGCCTGGCATACGGCGGTGCCTCGTCTGCTCCGCTCCCCCCCCCCCCCCCTCACTCCCCTCTCCCCCCTCCGTTTGCTCCCATCCAGGAGCGCGATAATGCTGACATGGGCCTGGCAGTCGGCGGTGCACTCTCTGCTCATGTCGACCCCCTATGCATTGGCCGGCTGTTTATCTTGCATGTGCATTATCGTGATAGGAATCTCGTGTCTGCAGCGAGGTGGGTCGACGCGCGGACGGGACAGTCGCAGCCATTATTTTTTTTACGCTTCCCCACCACGAGCCGCGGCGCTGTACGGCGACGCGGACGGGAATGAGCAGCGATACGGATGAGGTGAGGGGGGGGGGGGGGGGGGGGGGGGGGGGGATCGCAGGGAGCGGGGGCAGGGGAATGAGCAGTGGGTGGGCGCGTCCGAATGACAAGGGAGTGGGCGCGGGGGAGTGTGGAAACATGGGGCGTGGGGGAATGAGCAGTGAGTGGGCTCGGGTGGATGTAAGGTGAATGTACGCGGGGGAATGTAATGAGAGTGGGCGCGGGGGTGTAAGCAGTCGGTGGGTGCGACGCATTGTAAGGTTTGGGGCCGCAGGTGATCTAGTGGTTTATTCCAGTTTAGGGTTCATGAATGTGGTGAGGGCGCAGGGGAATAAGCAGTGGGTGGGTGCGGCTTAATGAATGTGGGTGGGCGCGGTGGGGTGTTGAGAGGAGGGGATAAGCAGGGAGAACGAGGCGGGGAGCTTATGGCCAGATGCCATGTGTGTGGGGTCTTCACGCTCCCATCGCCACTCCCGCGTGTGCTCACTCTCGCAATGCACCCCGCACCCTTCTCAGGACTTACCGGATTTGGTTCCTGGCATGCTGGGGGAGGTAGGAGAGCCAATTGTACACCTTGCGTGCTCTGTCTTTGCTCAACCACACACCTTGCTCCCTCTGTCCTTTGCTCACGCACACACCTTGCTCCCTTTGTCCATTGCTCTCTCACACACCTTGCTCTATCTGTCCTTTGCCCTCTCACACACCCAGCTCCATCTAGCCGTTGCACACGCTTTCCTCTCTATCACTAAGTCGATCCTAAACTCCAATACCCCCCAGCTCACTATGTCCTCCCTTCACTCTCCACCCGTGCCCGTTCTCTGTCCTGCGGGGATTAGGTCCTTTGTTCAACCCGCCTTGCTCTCAGCGACACCTTAGTCTTGGGCCCCGCGACATACATTCGCGTCCCCACCACTCTCGTTCCGACTACGTGTGGTGACACCGAGGGAAGAAGGGGAGGAGACTGAAGAGGAGGAAGAGTAGTAATAGGAGAGAGTGGAGGAAGAGGAGGAAGAGGAGAGAGTGGAGGTGGAAGTGAAGGAGTAGCTTTGCAATGGAACCACGGTTGCAATACGAGCACGACCATCACATTAGGAGTGTGCGTTTGTTCGGGGTGGTTGTGCAACCGATCGTTGCTTACTTTTATAGTGTAAGGTGGCCGTACATTTTCTACGACCATGCAAGTGGAATAAAATGGATGTACACGCTACTCTTGATCTCAGAGGGGGGGGACGAGGGTAGTGCGTAATGCCGTGAAGAGACCCACGTGGTGTAATGGTAACAATGGCAGACTGAGACAGTCGAATGCACATTAGCTCCGGACGGGCCAAGCTAGTGTGGCATTTGTACAACTGACACCCCCATGGGGCGTGCCTAACAATGATTTGGTAGACCTATTGTTGTTGGCGTCTAGGGTTCGCAATTAGACATAACGATGGCTATTACTACAGTGTTCGAGCCGCCAAACCAAATCAATCCATTTCACCCCTCCCAGGCCCCAACGCCCTCGCATCCCTCCCAGCCTCTCCACCCTTCGTTGTGCATTATCCTATCAAGCTTCACACTGCCACCGCTGCACATTATCCTGCTCTTGCCCTCCCTAGCGGGGGCTCGTTGCCAAAAGCAGCAATCAAAGGCTGATGTCCTGGTCTGTGGCTTATTCATCCACTTGAACACGCTGCCACACTAGTGCAGGCCCATATCTGCCACCCGACGCAGATATATGGTATGGGGGGGGAGCTATTATGAGTAACATTGAGTAAGCATGGTGACAGAGGGTGGACACAAAGTAGAGCTTGGGGGAAGGGGAAGAAACAGGTTGGGAAACCGAAGGTAGAACAACAGAAGCACGGATGGTGCATCAAGTACAACCTAACGTACATGATGAAAATTAGTGGGACAGTGAGGGAAGAAGGGGGAAGGGGGATGCGGAAGGGGGATGCGGAAGGGGGAATGCGAAAAGGGGATGCGGAAGAGGGAGTGTGGACGGGGGAATGCGGAAGGGGGCGTGCGTAGAGGGAATGAGGCAGGGGGAAAGCTGCAGGGGGGATGCGGAAGGGGGATTGCGAAAGGGTATGTGGAAGGGGGAATGCGGAAGGGGGATGCGGAAGGGGGATTGCGAAAGGGTATGCGGAAGGGGGAATGCGGAAGGGGGATGCGGAAGGGGGATGCGGAAGGGGGATGCGGAAGGGGGAATGCGGAAAGGGGAAGCGGAAGGGGGAGTGTGGACGGGGGATTGCGGAAGGGGGCGTGCGTAAAGGGAATGAGGCAGGGGGAATGATGCAGGGGGGATGCGGAAGGGGGTTTGTGGAATCGGGGTGGAGTGAGGAGGAATGAGGCAGGGGGGATGCGGCAGGGGGGATGCGGAAGGGGGAATGCGGAAGGGGGCTTGCGTGAGGGGGATTGAGGCAGGGGGGATGCGGCAGGAGGAATGTGGAAGGGGGGGTGTGGCAGTGGGGTTGCGGAAGCGGGATTGCGTAAGGGGTAATGAGGCAGGGGGAATGCGGAAGGGGGATTACGGCTCCGTAAACGAGTGATGGGGGATGCGGCAGGGGGAATACGACAGGGGGGATGCGGAAGGGAGAATGCGGAAGGGGGATTGCGGAAGGGGGCTTGCGAGAGGGGGAATGAGGCAGTGGGAGTGCTGTAGGGGGCAGGCGGATGGGGATGTGATGCAGGTAACCCTAAACACGTCGTTCTTAATGCAGCGCGGCGAATGTCACGACACACGCCGCTGGTTTCCCGTCCATTTTGGTTGCTCTCGTTGCTTATGTGTGTGGACACGTACAACACGTAACGACCACGTTTCATCGTGCTTCCAAGTCGTCGTTTCCCCTCAAGCCTATCAGTTTGGTGCGTTCTCAAGCACTGCGCCCCCCCGCACTGGGATGCCCTAGGTGCACACATTGGGATTCGAACCCGAGACCTTCGCTCTGATACCGTGTCAAATGTAACCGAAAGGTCATACTAGCACCCCCAGCTCCAGCACCTCCAGTACCACCAGCTCCAGCACCTCCAGTACCTCCAGCTCCAGTACCTCCAGCACCTCCAGCTCTAGCACCTCCAGTACCTCCAGCTCCAGTACCTCCAGCACCTCCAGCTCTAGTACCTCCAGCTCTAGCACCTCCACCACGAGCAACTCCAGCACCAGCAGCACCAGCACCTCCAGCACCTCCAGCTCTAGTACCTCCAACACCAGTAGTACCTCCAGAATTAGCAGCTCCAGCACCTCCAGCACCAGCAGCACCTCCAGAACTAGCAGCTCCATCACCTGTAGTACCTCCAGCAGCTCCAGAACTAGGAGGGGTCTCCAAGCGTGGAGAGCGGCGAGTGGCCGCCATGTCGTCAGCAGCGGGGTCACCCCCCTCAGCTGGGCCAGAGGTGTCAGAGGAGACCTCCAAAGGCTCACCAAGGGGGTGGGTCTACCTGAGACACACCTGAGGGAGCAGGACCCTGTGGGGGGAGGGGGTCTACCTAGGGGGGGACTGGAACCAGGAAGAGGGGCGGCGGGGGGACTGGGTGGGACGCGTGGGGGTGGAGACGGTAGAAGCAGACCGACTCGTCAAAGGTGACGTCCTGGAAGGACAGGACCCGTCGCAAGGCAGGGTGATAAAACTGCCAGGAAGACGCAGCGGAGAGTGCGAGGAGAGAGCTTGCTTGCGGTGGTATCACGCTTAAGGGAGAGCGGGCCCCAGACCCGAAATGTTGACGCATCGCCAACCTTCCCCGTCCAGCGTAGTGTGTCCTGGCACAGAGACACGTGGCCAGAGGTTGAGCTGATGCGCAGCGTATCGGACCGCAAACGGCCACATAAAATGGGGAGCAGCCGCATGGATCATGGAGGTACGAGCACAGCACGCCGTCACCGCACCAGCCGTGCAGAAGGGCACGGCACCTACTGCTGCACCTCGTCGTCACTGTCGCCGACGTCGGCCAGGCGTACTTGACCGATGGCGACAGAGCACCGGTTGAAAGCCGGAAAATGCAGCGCCTTCGGACGGCTGCTCGGTGGTCAGGATGTACTTCAGCACGAACATCCCGCGCCTCACGATGTGCTGCAGCCAGGCGTAGCGTCGTTCCATGTGCTTGAGGTTGCCCGTCAGCCCCAAGCCCTCAGCGACCGTGATGGTCGACTTGTTGTCCACCCGGAGGACAGTTGGCTTCCCAGTGTCGAGCTGCTGGAACTCCGCAAGGAGGAAACGGAGTCGGCGTCCCTCCTTGCCTGCATCCGTGGCCGCCACGTACTCTGACGGAGTCCGCGCCGCCACGAGCTGACTTCCCATAGCCTCGACCCTTGCCAGCTCCACCCCGATCGCCACCCGAGCCCCCTCCACCCACCCCACCTCCTCCGCCACCCCCGTCACCTCCACCTCCACCTCCACCACCACCCCCTCAACCCCCGCCTCCACCACCACCACCACCACCACCCCCGCTACCACCCCCACTAGTGCCACTCCCACCACCCTTACCCCCTTTGCCCTTGCCGCTGCGGCGCTTCCCACTAGGAGCAGACGCAGCGCCGACCTCCTTAGCACCAAGGAAATCGACAGCAGCAGCAGAGGCAACTGAGGGTATGAGAGGGGAGGAAGCACACCCTTCAAAGAAGGGAGAGCGGGGAGTGCCACAAGAGGCAGCGACAGCGGCGGTACTGGTCTCAGCCTCGAGAAGGTACTTCTCCAGCGAGGCAAGCGTGAGCTCTGTGGGGTCAAGGGCGAGAAAGTGGTCCCTAACGGTACGAAGGTAGTCAGGGAGGCAAGTGACGAGGAAGTACAGCGTGATATAAAGCGGTGGGGGGTTCGCAGTGAGGAAGTCCGGCTTGAGAGCGGTGCGGTAGCGAGTCTCACTAGCGCGAAGGTGGGTGAAGAGATCAGCAACAGTGTGGATGTATGAGAGCTCAGGAAAGAGATACGGCAGCATGAGTCGGTCAAGGGCAGCAGTAGAGGGGGAGGAGTAGCGAGCGACTACAGCGTCATAGAGTTCCTTAGCTGTCTTAAGCTGGCCAAAGTGAACGCGCTCATCTAGCGGGAGCGCACTACGGACAGCAAGGCGCGTGGCAGCATCTCCTGTGAGCCACTGAGAACAGAGGGCTCGGTCAGCGGATTCAAGAGGGGCAGGGAGGGAACCGGAAGTATGCTCTAACAGAGAGACGTCGTCACTAGCCTTACTCTGCAGGTACAGCTCGAGGTCCTCGAGCCAACAGTCAAACCAAATTGGGCGACCAACTGCGTCAAAGGTAAGGACTAATCGCAGCCATAGTGAGCAGTAGCAGTGGGTAGAACAGCAGCAGTAGCAGCAGCAGTAGCAGCAGCAGCAGTAGCAGCAGTAGCAGCAGCAGCAGCAGCAGCAGGGCGGCTCGGTTCTACAGGGCAGCGCGGCACAAGCTGGGCGGCGCGGCTCGGGCCGGGCGGTGGCGCGGCTCGGGCTGGGCAGCGCAGTTAGGCAGCGCAGGGCGCAGGAGCATGTGTGGCCGCCGCAGCACAGCAGTGTCAGCGCAGCAGCGCGAGCGGTAGCTGCAGTAGCGGGTGCGCGTGCGGGGGCCAGCAGCTGCAGCGCAGTACAACAGCAGCAGCAGCAGCAGCACGGGCGCTTGCGCACAGCAGCAACGCAGCAGCAGCGGCAGCGCGCAGGGGCCGGGTGCACGCGCGTAAGGGCAGCAGCCCGCGCAGTAGCGGGCAGTGCGTAGGGGCGCGCGGGGCAGCATGCAGTGCGCACTGCAGGCGGGGCGCGCGAAGGCTGCGAGCGGGGCGCGCGAAGGCCGCGAGCGTGCGGGGCGCATGTAGCAGCGCGAGCAGCACGCGGGGCAGCACAAGGAGCGTGCGACTACAAAGGGGCAGCAGGGCAGCGCGACGCTCTTTGGCAGGGCAGGGCAGCACAATAGCGCTTCGGGCAGGGCAGGGCAGCGCAATAGCGCTTCGGGCAGGGGAAAATTTAATGGTGGGCCCTTTAAAAAATCAGGTCCTAAGGTCTAGGAACGCCTAGCCTCTGAAACCATGCCAGAATCCCAGCCACTAACCACTGGGATAAAAGGGCTTTATTTATGTAGCGGGTGAGTGCGCCCATAACCCCCCAGGCCAACGTGCCTGTAACCCTTCCCTAGGATTGATCGGGGATCTCTGGTGGACCTCTGACAATCCTGTCGACGAGATTCCTATGATACTTCCTATGTTACTTGTCAAGCAACTTGTCAAGGCCTTTATGCAAGTGCTTACACAACATTCCACACCTAGCAGCCACAAGCATGAAAAGGTCAGGCAGAAAACAAAGCACAAGAACAAAAAAATGCATTATATCATATTACCTACCACCAAGCTTCTAAAAATAGAGTACAAAGCATACTCAACATCAAGCAGCTATTTTTTCAGTGAAGGACTTTGCGCCCTCTTGTTTCATATATATATATATATATATACATATATAATTGTTGCCTTCGTTGACGATCTTTTATACACCCAACAATCAAACAAGCATACGGTATGCATTTGGGACTCAACATCGCCAGTTCAACAAATATAACCCATCTCCCTGCCACCAAATACTGGTATACTAAATCGCTCGTCAAAGACCAACCTCACCATTCAAATATTTTGTGCCATTCTATTTATTGTAGACAATTGAGAATAGCAACATCAGTTCTTTTTCATGTTTCAAACCTAAAATCCGAAACCCGTTATCGAGAGCTCTTTAATGGACACAACCACAAACCCCTTCCCAAAACCGTTCGCCGCTGAATCTTCATTCTGAATGTTCACACCTATTTTAGTGTCGAAACCTAGCTTCCAAATAGCATATAGGTAGGTTATCGAGACCCAGAAATCACGCTACAGTGGTTGCAGAAGCTTCAAGAATCACCATTCGAGTGTCAATCGTAGCTATGTTTAGTAGCATCGACGGTCACAAGAAGATTTACAAGCTCGTCACCCCACAAGCAGCCGTCCGAGTCGCTGGTGGCGGTTCGCGAGCCAATTACCCCCAAGCGTCGGTTCGCGCATGTGCGCGCCCAAGCCTCCCTTCCGTACATTCCCCTCCCCACCAACACACCCCCTATTTACCCCCGCCACCCCCCCTTGAACAACGCCACAGCGTTTTTACAGCTCCCACTGTTACTGTATAGGCATGGTGAACCCTAGCAGCTGGTTGCAACATCCCCAACGGCGACGCGGTGATCTGCTTCCCGAGTCGTCTATTCCGCCGCGCAATCATCCAAGCCGCTCATTTTACAGCTTCCCATCTTCGTTAGAAGCAAGATCATGCCGCGCTCCCGGCGTGTCGCTGAACTTTCCCTTCCCAAAGCGACATGGATGGGAAACTTCAGCCTTCGGGATTTGACGAATTCGAAGTACAAATACCAACTGATAACTGCTTCGACTTCATCCCAACATCTTCGTTATCAGGCAGAATTCACCCCGCTTTCTACCACCCACTACTACCAGAAGCATTTCTTTTCGACAGCTCTTGACGACAGTAGTAGTTGCAAAGAATTCGTGCAACCATGGCTGCGAATCTCGTCTTCCGCGCCGTCGCGCTGCTCGTCGTGTCTCTCCTGTGCCTGTCCTTCGCGCCAGCCGCGGACGCCGTGCACCGGCCGTACTGCCGCTTCGACGGGAGGCTCGTGGTGAGCAACCTGGTGAGGGAGCTCAGGGCGGCGAAGAAATTCTCTACATTCCTGGACGGGCTCAGGAAAACAGGTCAGAGTCGATTATGATTTGCTCCGAGTGTTAGCGGTCCCGGCGAATCTGAATCTTGGTAGCAGCACAACGTCTAATTTTCTGTTGCCCACTGATTCCTTTCGTTCTTTTATTGTTCTTCCCGCCGTCGTGGCCTTGCCAGGCCTGAACAAGGACCTGCGCGACCTGTGCCACTGCTACGTTACACGCCTTTCAAACTCATGAGTTCAACATTCCGTTCGCTCGTTTTCCCAACCCAACGTACTCTCACGTTAACGTGCTCTCCCCCCAGGGCTGGACAAGGACCTGCGCGACCTGTTCCACTGCTACGTTACACGCCCTTCATCTCATGAATTCAACATTCTGTTCGCTCATTCTCCTAACCCAACGTGCTCTCACGTTAACGTGCTCTCCCCCCAGGGCTGGACAAGGACCTGCGCGACCTGTTCCACTGCTACGTTACACGCCCTTCAACTCATGAATTCAACATTCCGTTCGCTCATTTTCCTCACCCAACGTGCTCTCACATTGACGTTTTCCCCCAGGGCTGGACAAGGACCTGCGCGACCTGTTCCACTGCTACGAGGCGACCGTCTTCGCTCCCACCGACGCCGCGTTCGCAGAGCTCTCGAGAGACGTCAAGGCGAAACTGGGCGACAAGAAGGTGCTTCGCGAGGTGCTGCTGCTGCACATCGTCAAGGGCAAGAAATCCAACGCCAAGCTGATCGAACAGAAGAAGGGGCATCAGGTGAGGATAAAAAACAGATCCCTACGAATTTCAACTGGCGGTGTTCCTTTTGCTACAACTGCTAAGTCTGCTTCGTTCGCATCCACCCTCGTTTTCCCCCCTCGCATCTAAAGTCAACTCACCCTGTGGCCACCCCCATCCCGCATTTTTCCTCTGCAGTACGAAGCTGCAGCAGACTACTGCAGGGCGCGTCTGGTGAAGGTGTCATCTGCGGGGTCCAAGAAGGTGAAGGTGAAGGCCGAAGGCGGTGTGGACGAAGCTGCTGTGGTGGCTGCTGACGTGGTGTCGCTGAGAGTGGTGGTGGCGCATGGTGTGGATAACGTCATCCTGCCCAAGACTCTCCGCAAGGGCGACAGCAGCAGCCTCAAGCCTAAGAAATGCACTGCCTGGTACAATTGAGCTGGTTACCACGTTAGCTGGTTACCAGCGGACGTTGCGCTGTCACAAGTACGGTACCGTGTGATTGCAGTGCTTGAGCTATTGTGTTGTGTTTCAGCTGAGTTTGCCAATCTGCAATGCATGCCTTGTAGTGGTAGCTTGCTTTAGCTGCTGGAGGCATAGGGGGGTTGCTTGGTTGTGATGGTGGGCTGTGTGTGTTGCACTTAGAAATCAGTTTTAGAGTTGGTGTTGGCTAGAAATATGCAATAAAAGTGTTGGACTATAGTATTTATGCACTATACTATTTATGTCTAAAGTATACAGCAACACATGGTCTCTTGGACACCCTGTACCATACTATCCATTTCTTTCCTGGCTATGACAATCACCTCCCCGCACATTGTCACCATAGCCACAGCATAGCACATACAGTAAATGCCGGACCAACTCCTCCCATGTGATGTTGGCACACCACACTCGCCATAAGCCAGTGTAACGTCATTGTTGTACTGTACGCTCCTCGCTGGAAGACGCGTGGGTGGGTCTTATATGAAATAGTGAGAAAATGCTTCGGGTGAACAACCAGGGTGGCACTGGCACCTTTCTTAAACACCCCAGGTCCTCCTGCATCCTTGGGATTTTGGTATCAGGCCATTTTTTACTCTGCAACCATAGGGCCTGATTCCCAAGGCCAGATTGTAGCAAATTGCGAGCGTTACAAAGATGCGCATCTTCTTGTTACACATCCTGCTACACCCTCACTGATGACCACAGCTAGTGCAGGCGAGCAGCTTTCCCGTAGGCATGGCGAGGGCGGTTGAGGAGCTGCAGCAGGCTGTACACCCAGCGGTCCAGCATGCCTGGAGGTTAGAGCACCGGCACGGGTTGCCGGGAGCAGGGAGGTGCAGGGCGAGAGAGAGGGACAGGGGGACACGAAACTTGGTAGGATGGCATGAGAGGGGAGCTGCAGTTGAGGGCGGTTGAGGAGCTGCAGCAGGCTGTACACCCAGCGATCCAGCATGCGTGGTGGCGGGATGCGTGAGGGGGGTGGGAAAGATAAATGTGAAAGAGAGGGTGTGGCAATACATGAGAGTTGGGAGAATAGAATGAGAGAGCAGAGACGCGAATGAGCTGCAGCAGGCTGTACACCCAGCGATCCAGCATGCCTGGTGGGGGATGAAAAGATAAAGGGCGGGAGAGAGGGGCAGGTGGCAGGACAATGAGACTAGGGAGAATGGAATGAGAGGGGCTGTTAATGAGCTGCAGCAGGCTGTACACCCAGCGATCCAGCATGCCTGGTGGGGGTGGGGATGGAGGGGTACGTGATGGCCAGGGGAGGGAGGTGCAGGGCGAGAGAGAGGGACAGAAGGACATGATAGTTGGTAGGATGGCATGAGACACGAGGTGCAGGCGAGGGCGGTTGATGAGCTGCAGCAGGCTGTACACCCACTTAGCGGTCCAGCATGCGTGGGGGAGGGGCGGGATGGCCAGGGCAGGAAGATAACAGGTTTGAGTCGACTCAAACCCGAGCCTTTCCCACCTGCGAGCCCCACCCACCTGCGAGCCCCACCCACCTGCGAGCCCCACCCACTGTGTGAGCCCCACCCACTGTGTGAGCCATACACCTTACCCACCTGCGAGCCCCACCCACTGTGTGAGCCATACACCTTACCCACCTGCGAGCCCCACCCACTGTGTGAGCCATACACCTTACCCACCTGTGAGTGCGAACGTGCCGCCCAGCACGGCGCAGAGGCGAGTGAGGAAGTGGAAGAAGCTGCGGTGCGACTCGGTGATGCTCACTGCTATGGGCGATAGGTCGTACAGGAAGTATACCGCTGCAAGGGGGGATAGGAAGGGGAGATGGGGAGGGGAAAGGGGGAACGAGAGAAGAAGGGTGGAGAGCGGGGAACTGTGGTGCGAGTAGGTGATGCTCACTGCTATGGGCGAGAGGTCGTACAGGAAGTAGACCGCTGCAAGGAGGGAGGGAAGCACGGGAGGTGGGGAAGAGTGGAGGTCGGGAAGTGTGGGAGGGGTGGCAGGGAGGGAGTTTTAGGGTGAGGCATACAGCGAGAGGGGTGAAAGGGGTGTGAGGGGTGACAGGGGCGAGAGAGACGGAAGGGGCAGAACACAATTGTATTAAACAAGCGGCAGGCACGTATTGACACCATGCACCTACTTGGTGGTCTAATGTAAGAGGCAGTACAAAACTATGTGGACTCTCAACCGAGCAGGTGCGAGGCATAGCGTACCTGGCAGTGCGTTGGACTGTGGTGAGGAGGGAGTGAAGTATTCACTAATAGAGTACTGGTTGGTCTTCACATGATAATATATGAGGACTGGTTTGAGAGACGTCTCAATACCTGGCAGTTCATTGGACTGTGGTGAGGAGGGAGTGAAGTATTCACTAATAGAGTACTGGTTGGTCTTCACATGATAATATATGAGGACTGGTTTGAGAGACGTCTCAATACCTGGCAGAGCGTTGGACTGTGGCGAGGACGGAGTGAAGTATTCACTGATGGAGTACTGGTTCGTCTTCACATGGTCGTCTCAATACCTGGCAGAGCGTTGGACTGTGGCGAGGACGGAGTGAAGTATTCACTGATGGAGTACTGGTTCGTCTTCACATGGTCGTCTCAATACCTGGCAGAGCGTTGGACTGTGGCGAGGACGGAGTGAAGTATTCACTGATGGAATACTGGTTCGTCTTCACATGGTCGTCTCAATACCTGGCAGAGCGTTGGAATGTGGCGAGGACGGAGTGAAGTATTCACTGATGGAGTACTGGTTCGTCTTCACATGGTCGTCTCAATACCTGGCAGAGCGTTGGACTGTGGCGAGGACGGAGTGAAGTATTCACTGATGGAGTACTGGTTCGTCTTCACATGGTCATCTCAATACCTGGCAGAGCGTTGGACTGTGGCGAGGACGGAGTGAAGTATTCACTGATGGAGTACTGGTTCGTCTTCACATGGTCGTCTCAATACCTGGCAGAGCGTTGGACTGTGGCGAGGACGGAGTGAAGTATTCACTGATGGAGTACTGGTTCGTCTTCACATGGTCGTCTCAATACCTGGCAGAGCGTTGGACTGTGGCGAGGACGGAGTGAAGTATTCACTGATGGAGTACTGGTTCGTCTTCACATGGTCGTCTCAATACCTGGCAGAGCGTTGGACTGTGGCGAGGACGGAGTGAAGTATTCACTGATGGAGTACTGGTTCGTCTTCACATGGTCGTCTCAATACCTGGCAGAGCGTTGGACTGTGGCGAGGACGGAGTGAAGTATTCACTGATGGAGTACTGGTTCGTCTTCACATGGTCGTCTCAATACCTGGCAGAGCGTTGGACTGTGGCGAGGACGGAGTGAAGTATTCACTGATGGAGTACTGGTTCGTCTTCACATGGTCGTCTCAATACCTGGCAGAGCGTTGGACTGTGGCGAGGACGGAGTGAAGTATTCACTGATGGAGTACTGGTTCGTCTTCACATGGTCGTCTCAATACCTGGCAGAGCGTTGGACTGTGGCGAGGACGGAGTGAAGTATTCACTGATGGAGTACTGGTTCGTCTTCACATGGTCGTCTCAATACCTGGCAGAGCGTTGGACTGTGGCGAGGACGGAGTGAAGTATTCACTGATGGAGTACTGGTTCGTCTTCACATGGTCGTCTCAATACCTGGCAGAGCGTTGGACTGTGGCGAGGACGGAGTGAAGTATTCACTGATGGAGTACTGGTTCGTCTTCACATGGTCGTCTCAATACCTGGCAGAGCGTTGGACTGTGGCGAGGACGGAGTGAAGTATTCACTGATGGAGTACTGGTTCGTCTTCACATGGTCGTCTCAATACCTGGCAGAGCGTTGGACTGTGGCGAGGACGGAGTGAAGTATTCACTGATGGAGTACTGGTTCGTCTTCACATGGTCGTCTCAATACCTGGCAGAGCGTTGGACTGTGGCGAGGACGGAGTGAAGTATTCACTGATGGAGTACTGGTTCGTCTTCACATGGTCGTCTCAATACCTGGCAGAGCGTTGGACTGTGGCGAGGACGGAGTGAAGTATTCACTGATGGAGTACTGGTTCGTCTTCACATGGTCGTCTCAATACCTGGCAGAGCGTTGGACTGTGGCGAGGACGGAGTGAAGTGTTCACTGATGGAGTACTGGTTCGTCTTCACATGGTCGTCTCAATACCTGGCAGAGCGTTGGACTGTGGCGAGGACGGAGTGAAGTATTCACTGATGGAGTACTGGTTCGTCTTCACATGGTCGTCTCAATACCTGGCAGAGCGTTGGACTGTGGCGAGGACGGAGTGAAGTATTCACTGATGGAGTACTGGTTCGTCTTCACATGGTCATCTCAATACCTGGCAGAGCGTTGGACTGTGGCGAGGACGGAGTGAAGTATTCACTGATGGAGTACTGGTTCGTCTTCACATGGTCGTCTCAATACCTGGCAGAGCGTTGGACTGTGGCGAGGACGGAGTGAAGTATTCACTGATGGAGTACTGGTTCGTCTTCACATGGTCGTCTCAATACCTGGCAGAGCGTTGGACTGTGGCGAGGACGGAGTGAAGTATTCACTGATGGAGTACTGGTTCGTCTTCACATGGTCGTCTCAATACCTGGCAGAGCGTTGGACTGTGGCGAGGACGGAGTGAAGTGTTCACTGATGGAGTACTGGTTCGTCTTCACATGGTCGTCTCAATACCTGGCAGAGCGTTGGACTGTGGCGAGGACGGAGTGAAGTATTCACTGATGGAGTACTGGTTCGTCTTCACATGGTCGTCTCAATACCTGGCAGAGCGTTGGACTGTGGCGAGGACGGAGTGAAGTGTTCACTGATGGAGTACTGGTTCGTCTTCACATGGTCGTCTCAATACCTGGCAGAGCGTTGGACTGTGGCGAGGACGGAGTGAAGTATTCACTGATGGAGTACTGGTTCGTCTTCACATGGTCGTCTCAATACCTGGCAGAGCGTTGGACTGTGGCGAGGACGGAGTGAAGTATTCACTGATGGAGTACTGGTTCGTCTTCACATGGTCGTCTCAATACCTGGCAGAGCGTTGGACTGTGGCGAGGACGGAGTGAAGTATTCACTGATGGAGTACTGGTTCGTCTTCACATGGTCGTCTCAATACCTGGCAGAGCGTTGGACTGTGGCGAGGACGGAGTGAAGTGTTCACTGATGGAGTACTGGTTCGTCTTCACATGGTCGTCTCAATACCTGGCAGAGCGTTGGACTGTGGCGAGGACGGAGTGAAGTATTCACTGATGGAGTACTGGTTCGTCTTCACATGGTCGTCTCAATACCTGGCAGAGCGTTGGACTGTGGCGAGGACGGAGTGAAGTGTTCACTGATGGAGTACTGGTTCGTCTTCACATGGTCGTCTCAATACCTGGCAGAGCGTTGGACTGTGGCGAGGACGGAGTGAAGTATTCACTGATGGAGTACTGGTTCGTCTTCACATGGTCGTCTCAATACCTGGCAGAGCGTTGGACTGTGGCGAGGACGGAGTGAAGTATTCACTGATGGAGTACTGGTTCGTCTTCACATGGTCGTCTCAATACCTGGCAGAGCGTTGGACTGTGGCGAGGACGGAGTGAAGTATTCACTGATGGAGTACTGGTTCGTCTTCACATGGTCGTCTCAATACCTGGCAGAGCGTTGGACTGTGGCGAGGACGGAGTGAAGTATTCACTGATGGAGTACTGGTTCGTCTTCACATGGTCGTCTCAATACCTGGCAGAGCGTTGGACTGTGGCGAGGACGGAGTGAAGTATTCACTGATGGAGTACTGGTTCGTCTTCACATGGTCGTCTCAATACCTGGCAGAGCGTTGGACTGTGGCGAGGACGGAGTGAAGTATTCACTGATGGAGTACTGGTTCGTCTTCACATGGTCGTCTCAATACCTGGCAGAGCGTTGGACTGTGGCGAGGACGGAGTGAAGTATTCACTGATGGAGTACTGGTTCGTCTTCACATGGTCGTCTCAATACCTGGCAGAGCGTTGGACTGTGGCGAGGACGGAGTGAAGTATTCACTGATGGAGTACTGGTTCGTCTTCACATGGTCGTCTCAATACCTGGCAGAGCGTTGGACTGTGGCGAGGACGGAGTGAAGTATTCACTGATGGAGTACTGGTTCGTCTTCACATGGTCGTCTCAATACCTGGCAGAGCGTTGGACTGTGGCGAGGACGGAGTGAAGTGTTCACTGATGGAGTACTGGTTCGTCTTCACATGGTCGTCTCAATACCTGGCAGAGCGTTGGACTGTGGCGAGGACGGAGTGAAGTATTCACTGATGGAGTACTGGTTCGTCTTCACATGGTCGTCTCAATACCTGGCAGAGCGTTGGACTGTGGCGAGGACGGAGTGAAGTGTTCACTGATGGAGTACTGGTTCGTCTTCACATGGTCGTCTCAATACCTGGCAGAGCGTTGGACTGTGGCGAGGACGGAGTGAAGTATTCACTGATGGAGTACTGGTTCGTCTTCACATGGTCGTCTCAATACCTGGCAGAGCGTTGGACTGTGGCGAGGACGGAGTGAAGTATTCACTGATGGAGTACTGGTTCGTCTTCACATGGTCGTCTCAATACCTGGCAGAGCGTTGGACTGTGGCGAGGACGGAGTGAAGTGTTCACTGATGGAGTACTGGTTCGTCTTCACATGGTCGTCTCAATACCTGGCAGAGCGTTGGACTGTGGCGAGGACGGAGTGAAGTATTCACTGATGGAGTACTGGTTCGTCTTCACATGGTCGTCTCAATACCTGGCAGAGCGTTGGACTGTGGCGAGGACGGAGTGAAGTATTCACTGATGGAGTACTGGTTCGTCTTCACATGGTCGTCTCAATACCTGGCAGAGCGTTGGACTGTGGCGAGGACGGAGTGAAGTATTCACTGATGGAGTACTGGTTCGTCTTCACATGGTCGTCTCAATACCTGGCAGAGCGTTGGACTGTGGCGAGGACGGAGTGAAGTATTCACTGATGGAGTACTGGTTCGTCTTCACATGGTCGTCTCAATACCTGGCAGAGCGTTGGACTGTGGCGAGGACGGAGTGAAGTATTCACTGATGGAGTACTGGTTCGTCTTCACATGGTCGTCTCAATACCTGGCAGAGCGTTGGACTGTGGCGAGGACGGAGTGAAGTATTCACTGATGGAGTACTGGTTCGTCTTCACATGGTCGTCTCAATACCTGGCAGAGCGTTGGACTGTGGCGAGGACGGAGTGAAGTATTCACTGATGGAGTACTGGTTCGTCTTCACATGGTCGTCTCAATACCTGGCAGAGCGTTGGACTGTGGCGAGGACGGAGTGAAGTATTCACTGATGGAGTACTGGTTCGTCTTCACATGGTCGTCTCAATACCTGGCAGAGCGTTGGACTGTGGCGAGGACGGAGTGAAGTATTCACTGATGGAGTACTGGTTCGTCTTCACATGGTCGTCTCAATACCTGGCAGAGCGTTGGACTGTGGCGAGGACGGAGTGAAGTGTTCACTGATGGAGTACTGGTTCCTCTTCACATGGTCGTCTCAATACCTGGCAGAGCGTTGGACTGTGGCGAGGACGGAGTGAAGTATTCACTGATGGAGTACTGGTTCGTCTTCACATGGTCGTCTCAATACCTGGCAGAGCGTTGGACTGTGGCGAGGACGGAGTGAAGTGTTCACTGATGGAGTACTGGTTCGTCTTCACATGGTCGTCTCAATACCTGGCAGAGCGTTGGACTGTGGCGAGGACGGAGTGAAGTATTCACTGATGGAGTACTGGTTCGTCTTCACATGGTCGTCTCAATACCTGGCAGAGCGTTGGACTGTGGCGAGGACGGAGTGAAGTATTCACTGATGGAGTACTGGTTCGTCTTCACATGGTCGTCTCAATACCTGGCAGAGCGTTGGACTGTGGCGAGGACGGAGTGAAGTATTCACTGATGGAGTACTGGTTCGTCTTCACATGGTCGTCTCAATACCTGGCAGAGCGTTGGACTGTGGCGAGGACGGAGTGAAGTATTCACTGATGGAGTACTGGTTCGTCTTCACATGGTCGTCTCAATACCTGGCAGAGCGTTGGACTGTGGCGAGGACGGAGTGAAGTATTCACTGATGGAGTACTGGTTCGTCTTCACATGGTCGTCTCAATACCTGGCAGAGCGTTGGACTGTGGCGAGGACGGAGTGAAGTATTCACTGATGGAGTACTGGTTCGTCTTCACATGGTCGTCTCAATACCTGGCAGAGCGTTGGACTGTGGCGAGGACGGAGTGAAGTATTCACTGATGGAGTACTGGTTCGTCTTCACATGGTCGTCTCAATACCTGGCAGAGCGTTGGACTGTGGCGAGGACGGAGTGAAGTATTCACTGATGGAGTACTGGTTCGTCTTCACATGGTCGTCTCAATACCTGGCAGAGCGTTGGACTGTGGCGAGGACGGAGTGAAGTATTCACTGATGGAGTACTGGTTCGTCTTCACATGGTCGTCTCAATACCTGGCAGAGCGTTGGACTGTGGCGAGGACGGAGTGAAGTATTCACTGATGGAGTACTGGTTCGTCTTCACATGGTCGTCTCAATACCTGGCAGAGCGTTGGACTGTGGCGAGGACGGAGTGAAGTATTCACTGATGGAGTACTGGTTCGTCTTCACATGGTCGTCTCAATACCTGGCAGAGCGTTGGACTGTGGCGAGGACGGAGTGAAGTATTCACTGATGGAGTACTGGTTCGTCTTCACATGGTCGTCTCAATACCTGGCAGAGCGTTGGACTGTGGCGAGGACGGAGTGAAGTATTCACTGATGGAGTACTGGTTCGTCTTCACATGGTCGTCTCAATACCTGGCAGAGCGTTGGACTGTGGCGAGGACGGAGTGAAGTGTTCACTGATGGAGTACTGGTTCCTCTTCACATGGTCGTCTCAATACCTGGCAGAGCGTTGGACTGTGGCGAGGACGGAGTGAAGTATTCACTGATGGAGTACTGGTTCGTCTTCACATGGTCGTCTCAATACCTGGCAGAGCGTTGGACTGTGGCGAGGACGGAGTGAAGTGTTCACTGATGGAGTACTGGTTCGTCTTCACATGGTCGTCTCAATACCTGGCAGAGCGTTGGACTGTGGCGAGGACGGAGTGAAGTATTCACTGATGGAGTACTGGTTCGTCTTCACATGGTCGTCTCAATACCTGGCAGAGCGTTGGACTGTGGCGAGGACGGAGTGAAGTATTCACTGATGGAGTACTGGTTCGTCTTCACATGGTCGTCTCAATACCTGGCAGAGCGTTGGACTGTGGCGAGGACGGAGTGAAGTATTCACTGATGGAGTACTGGTTCGTCTTCACATGGTCGTCTCAATACCTGGCAGAGCGTTGGACTGTGGCGAGGACGGAGTGAAGTATTCACTGATGGAGTACTGGTTCGTCTTCACATGGTCGTCTCAATACCTGGCAGAGCGTTGGACTGTGGCGAGGACGGAGTGAAGTATTCACTGATGGAGTACTGGTTCGTCTTCACATGGTCGTCTCAATACCTGGCAGAGCGTTGGACTGTGGCGAGGACGGAGTGAAGTATTCACTGATGGAGTACTGGTTCGTCTTCACATGGTCGTCTCAATACCTGGCAGAGCGTTGGACTGTGGCGAGGACGGAGTGAAGTATTCACTGATGGAGTACTGGTTCGTCTTCACATGGTCGTCTCAATACCTGGCAGAGCGTTGGACTGTGGCGAGGACGGAGTGAAGTATTCACTGATGGAGTACTGGTTCGTCTTCACATGGTCGTCTCAATACCTGGCAGAGCGTTGGACTGTGGCGAGGACGGAGTGAAGTATTCACTGATGGAGTACTGGTTCGTCTTCACATGGTCGTCTCAATACCTGGCAGAGCGTTGGACTGTGGCGAGGACGGAGTGAAGTATTCACTGATGGAGTACTGGTTCGTCTTCACATGGTCGTCTCAATACCTGGCAGAGCGTTGGACTGTGGCGAGGACGGAGTGAAGTATTCACTGATGGAGTACTGGTTCGTCTTCACATGGTCGTCTCAATACCTGGCAGAGCGTTGGACTGTGGCGAGGACGGAGTGAAGTATTCACTGATGGAGTACTGGTTCGTCTTCACATGGTCGTCTCAATACCTGGCAGAGCGTTGGACTGTGGCGAGGACGGAGTGAAGTATTCACTGATGGAGTACTGGTTCGTCTTCACATGGTCGTCTCAATACCTGGCAGAGCGTTGGACTGTGGCGAGGACGGAGTGAAGTATTCACTGATGGAGTACTGGTTCGTCTTCACATGGTCGTCTCAATACCTGGCAGAGCGTTGGACTGTGGCGAGGACGGAGTGAAGTATTCACTGATGGAGTACTGGTTCGTCTTCACATGGTCGTCTCAATACCTGGCAGAGCGTTGGACTGTGGCGAGGACGGAGTGAAGTATTCACTGATGGAGTACTGGTTCGTCTTCACATGGTCGTCTCAATACCTGGCAGAGCGTTGGACTGTGGCGAGGACGGAGTGAAGTATTCACTGATGAAGTACTGGTTCGTCTTCACATGGTCGTCTCAATACCTGGCAGAGCGTTGGACTGTGGCGAGGACGGAGTGAAGTATTCACTGATGGAGTACTGGTTCGTCTTCACATGGTCGTCTCAATACCTGGCAGAGCGTTGGACTGTGGCGAGGACGGAGTGAAGTATTCACTGATGGAGTACTGGTTCGTCTTCACATGGTCGTCTCAATACCTGGCAGAGCGTTGGACTGTGGCGAGGACGGAGTGAAGTATTCACTGATGGAGTGGAAGCCTGTGGGAACTACCTGAGGATGAGGGCACATGCACATGCACATACGTGCCTGTGCATGCGAGCACCTGGCAGTATGCGTGCGCACACACCTGGCAGTGCGTTGGACTGTGGAGAGGAGGGAGTGAAGTATTCACTGATAGAGTACTGGTTCGTCTTCACAAAGCCTCCGTGCCAGAAGCGGAAGCGCGTGGGCACCACCTGAAGCAAGTCGAGAGGGGGGGGGGTATAGTACAGATGCGATTGATTGCTCTGCACCGCTCCAAACCCCCAAGAACTGGTTTGTTCTCAGGTTGGTTTTCGACTGAGCTCAGTACTGGTTCATCTTCACAGAGCCTCCGTGCCGCAGAAGCGAGTGGGCACCACCTGAAACAAGGCGAGACGGATGGTATATTATAAATGCGAGGCACTTAAATGCACTGCATCGCTCCTAACCTCCAAGAACCGGTTGATGCTCGGGCTGGAATCAAAGGGAGTTCCCAACTGAGCTCAGTACTAGTTGGACTTCACAGAGCCCCCGTGCCAAAAGCGGAAGCGCGTGGGCTGAAGTGTGCTGTACCGCTCCCAACCCAATTAAATTCACTGATAGAGTACTGGTTCGTCTTCACAAAGCCTCCGTGCCAGAAGCGGAAGCGAGTGGGTATCAGCTGAGGGGACACACACGCGGATTGTAGAGCAAAAAGGGCATGCACGTCATCAGCCTGAGAACCGGTTGGGATCAACCACCTGAGGGCACACAAGTGGTCAGCGATTAGGTTGACTCAGCTGCCTATATTAAGGCCGAGCTGAGTACTGGTTGGTCTTCACAGACCCCTTGTACCATGCGGTGCAGTGCGGTGGAGTGTGGTGCAGTGTGATGGAGATGGCTCACCTTGAGGAAGTACTTGAAAGTGCCGCTAGACCTGGCAGGGTCCTCCCCTTCCTTGAGGGGCGGCAGGATGGAAAGGAGCAACGTGCATTGGAGTGCGGTGAAGTGTGGTGAAGTGTGGTGGAGATGGCTCACCTTGAGGAAGTATTTGAAAGTGCCACTGGAGCGGGCAGGGTCCTCCCCCTCCTTGAGGGGCGGCAGGATGCGGACAAATCCGTCTAGAGGGTTGAGGCGGCCGGGATAAGGCACTCCGAAACCGAGGGAGTGGATGACGTGAGAGACGTTCACATCGCCCACTGATGAGAAGACCTGGTGGGGGAAAGGGGGGAGAGGGAGGGGTTGAATGGAAGGAAATGGAAGGGGAAAGCACTCCGAAACCGAGGGAGTGGATGACATGAGAGAGGGGGGGAGAGGGGAGGAGGGAAGGGGCGGAAGGAAGAAAAGAAGGAAGAACAGGGCACTAGGACTGTGAGGGAGTGGATGATGTGGGACATGTTCACGTCACCCACTGATGAGAAGACCTGCGAAGGAAGGGGGGAGGAGGGAGTTATATCAAGGAAGGCGTGAGGGGACGTAGGAGGACGTGAGATGAGATGCGATGCGGATGAGGAAGAAAAAGGCAGTTGGAGAGGACGACGGAGTGGATGAGGTGGGTCAGGTTGACAATGCTTATTGCACAGAAAGAATTGGGAGGAGGACGGGAGAGGGAGAGGCGCAGGGTGGTTAAGGGGGTTGGGAAGAAGGCCGAGCTGAAATGAGACGAGGTGGACGAGTGGTGCTGACTGATTGTGGCATCAGAGCATGAGTTGCGTCCAGATCGCACCAAGCAACCCACCGCACCTGCTGCAGCACCAACCAAGTAGCAAGCAGCAGGCAACCCCAACACACCTGCTGCAGCACGAGGTAGGACCGGCCGTGCACTGAGACGTGGAAGTTGATTGATGCATGAGAGAATGGGGCGAGGCAACACACCAACCAACCACCCCACATTGTACCTGCTCCAGAGCAAGCAACCAACCATCCCACCTCACCTGCTGCAACACAAGGTACGACTGGCCGTGCACCGAGACATGGAAGTTGCCTGCCACCCTCTCCACTGCGAGATGGCCGTACAGCTGAGGAGAGGGCGCACGCAGCAAAGAGTGGAGGGAAGAGTGAAGAGGAGCAGGGTATGAAGGAAAAGGCAAGGGGGCAAGGTGGAAGTTGCCTGCCACCCTCTCCGCCGCCCATCAGATGCTCTTACAGCTGGCGGCACAGCGCACGTGGAACGGAAAAGGTGACGGGGAGCAGAAAGTGGGAAGGAATCGGAGAGGGGAGCCAAAGGTTGGAGGCACAGAATCGAAATGGTGGCCCAGCAGCCATGGCCTTCTGTACATGGTAGCCCCAACTTCCCACACCCTCTTACTTCACATGCCACCGCACATAGACACACTTGCCACCCACCCCACACACCTGCCACCCACCCCATACCCCAGCAGCCATGGCTTTCTGCACGTCCAGCCCCACCGCCTCCCCCCCCTCCATGCCCTCCCTCTCCCACACCAACGCACATACGCACACACCTGCCACCTCCCCCACAACACACTCCACCTACCTGACACCCCTCCCCTGCTGCCATGGCTTTCTGCACATCCAGCACCATCTGTTCCAGCCCCACTGCCTCCTCCTCGTCCTCCTCCTCCTCATCCTCCTCCTGCTGCCCCTCCCCAGCCTTCCCCTTCTTCCCCCCTGCCACGTGTGCCTGCCCGTACCCGTGTGCATGCCCATGCCCGTGGTGGGGTGTGGGAGATTTTCCGTGAGTGTGTCCTGTGGTGGGAAGAGGGGAACGGGAAGGTAACACGTGTGTGTCGATGCAAGACGGGCCTCAAATATAGCACACATGCGCCTTCCCCTTCTTCCCCCCTGTCACTTGTGCCTGCCTGTAGCCGTGTGTGTGGCCTGTGGCGGGGAAGGAAAAGGTAAGGGGATAGTGTGTTGCTTTACTCTATCCCCCCTGCCACGTGTGCCTGCCCATAGCCGTGTGCGTGCCCGTGCCCATGGTGGGGCGTGGGGGATTTACCATGCGTGTGGCCTCAGGTAGGGTGAAGGGAAAGGGGAGAAGAAGGAGGTTCTATGCATGCATGACACATGTGTGCCTGCCCATTCCCGTCTGCGTGCCCGTGACCACAGTGGTGGGGTGTGGGGAATTTACCATGTGTGTGTCCTGTGGTAAGAGGGGAACGGGGAGGGGAAGGGGAGTCTGTGCATGACTTGCCTCTCAGATATAGCACACGCGTGTCTGCCCCAACTACCACAGGCCAGAAAGAGATTGCACAACAGAGCCACCCACACCACACGTCCGCAGCAGCCCCAACTCCCACCTTTGCGCTTATTGGCCTCGCTCCGCCGCCATGCCCCCGTGGGCTCCTTGAGCGATTGCAAACCTGCCCCTAGTTGTTCCCCCAAGCCTCTGGTCCCAAGCCGCTGGTCCCAAGCCTCTGGTCCCAATCCTCGGGTCCCAAGCTTCTCGCCTTTGCTCCGCCTCCATGCCCGTGGGGTCCTTGAGACGGCCTGCCCTGCCCCTTGTTGTTCCCCTAAGCCTCGGGTCCCAAGCCTCAGGTTCGAAGCCTCTGGTCCCAAGCCTCGGAACCCAAGCCTCCGACCCTGAAGTTCCGAGCCTCACCTTTGCGCTTCTTGCCCTTGCTCTGTCGCCATGCCCCTGTGGGGTCCTTGAGCCACCGCGAGTCTGCCAACTGGCCATGGCGGTCCAGACGAATCTGAGGGGGGGGGAGAGGGTGGGAGGGGGGAGTGGGGGGGGAAGGGAGGGAGTGGAGGGAGAAGGGGGGGAGGGAGAGGAGGGAGAAGGGGTCCTTAAGAGGTGAGGTGAGGTGAGCTGAGCGCACAGGTGGGGTCCTTGAGCCACCTCGAGTCTGCCAACAAACCATGACGGTCCAGACGAATCTGAGGAGGGAAATAGGAGAGAGCGGGAGGGCACTGGTGGTGGTGGGGGGGACGGAGGAGGAGGAGGGCAGCGGGCAGGTAGGAGTGACCTGAGTGCACGGATGGGGTGCTTGATTCACCGTGAGTCTGCCAACCGGCAGGGGAAGGCCCAAGGAGGGCGAGAAGCGGGGAGGGGGGAGGGGAGAATGGGGATGTAGGGGGGGGGGAGGGTCTATATTGGTATTACGATTGAGAATCCTTGGGAACTCCCAAAAGTGAGCGGAAATGTTGCAGACGGGTCGAACGGATGAAAGGGAGGGGCATGGAGCGGCAGACGAAGGGTGGAATGGATATGGGCAACGGGAATGACGGCAGCTGGTGAGGTGATTCTGAGCGACCAGTACTCGTTAACGAAACACCTCATCTCATCGTACAGTTAAATGTAACTGTTATGCAAAGCCTCGTTGTACCTTGTACATATTTGTTGCAATGTCCACCTCATGGTTGCCCGACATGTCCAGAGCCACACCTTGTGGCAGAAGCAGATACAACGCAGCAGACACTTCCTGTTCCACTGTCACTGGGCTACAGTAACCCTACCTTGTACATGTTTGTTGCAATGTCCACCTCATGGTTGCCCGACATGTCCAGCGCATCGAGACTGATCACTGTAGCGTGCAGCACACATGCAATGCACACACGCACGCACACATGCACACGCACACACGCTCGCACCCGGACCCGCAACCACACCCCACCCCACCCCCACCCGCACCCATAAGTGCAGGCAGTGGCAGGTGACTTATTATAGCAGAATACCAGCTGATCCACGATAGCTTCAACAAATGGGGAGGAGATAATTCAAGATGCATTTCATATCAGAAAAAACAGGGAACAGAAGAAAGGGTGGCGTGTACGAAGGAACGAGAACTTGCAAAAGCGAAATAGGACAACGGAAGGCGAAAAAAGTGGAGCGGAGAGGACTGGTGGGAAGGAGGGGAGGGGAGAAGGATGGGGACAGGTGGGAAGCATACCACTGCAGGGCAGGACGAAAGGAGACAACAAGGGAAGGGATTAAGGAGAGGGTTGGGGAAGAGAGGCATGTCAACGCTGCTGCGCTCACCGTTGCAGGGCAGGGAGGGGAAGGAGATGTTGAGATACACATCGAGCTTCTCGTCCCTTGGCGTCTTGTCCACTGCCATCTGCGGGGCAAGGGAAAGGGGAGGGTAGCGTAGGGAAAGGGAAGAGAGGGACGGGACGGGATGGGAGGGAGGGGAAGGGAGGGGAGGGGAGAGGAGGAAAGGGAGGGGAGAGGAGGGAAGGGAGAGGAGGGAGGGGAAGGGAGGGGAGGGGAGGGACGGGAGGGAGGGGAGGGGACGGAGAGGAGGGGAAGGAGATGTTGAGATACAGATCAAGCTTCTCATCTCATCCCTTGATGTATTATCCACCGCCATCTGCGGAGCAAGGGGAGGGATGGGAGGGAGGAGGGAGAGATGGGATAGGATGGGAGCGATGGAGGTGGAGAGATCGGAGGGGAGGGACGGGCAGGGGAGGGGAGGGGACAGGAGGGAACGGGAGGGGAGAGGAGGGGACGGGAGGGGAGAGGAGGGGATGCGAGGGGAGAGGAGGGGATGCGAGGGGAGAGGAGGGGATGCGAGGGGAGAGGAGGGGATGCGAGGGGAGAGGAGGGGATGCGAGGGGAGAGGAGGGGATGCGAGGGGAGAGGAGGGGATGCGAGGGGAGAGGAGGGGATGCGAGGGGAGAGGAGGGGATGCGAGGGGAGAGGAGGGGATGCGAGGGGAGAGGAGGGGATGCGAGGGGAGAGGAGGGGATGCGAGGGGAGAGGAGGGGATGCGAGGGGAGAGGAGGGGATGCGAGGGGAGAGGAGGGGATGCGAGGGGAGAGGAGGGGATGCGAGGGGAGAGGAGGGGATGCGAGGGGAGAGGAGGGGATGCGAGGGGAGAGGAGGGGATGCGAGGGGAGAGGAGGGGATGCGAGGGGAGAGGAGGGGATGCGAGGGGAGAGGAGGGGATGCGAGGGGAGAGGAGGGGATGCGAGGGGAGAGGAGGGGATGCGAGGGGAGAGGAGGGGATGCGAGGGGAGAGGAGGGGATGCGAGGGGGGAGGAGGGGATGCGAGGGGGGAGGAGGGGATGCGAGGGGGGAGGAGGGGATGCGAGGGGGGAGGAGGGGATGCGAGGGGGGAGGAGGGGATGCGAGGGGGGAGGAGGGGATGCGAGGGGGGAGGAGGGGATGCGAGGGGGGAGGAGGGGATGCGAGGGGAGAGGAGGGGATGCGAGGGGAGAGGAGGGGATGCGAGGGGAGAGGAGGGGATGCGAGGGGAGAGGAGGGGATGCGAGGGGAGAGGAGGGGATGCGAGGGGAGAGGAGGGGATGCGAGGGGAGAGGAGGGGATGCGAGGGGAGAGGAGGGAATGCGAGGGGAGAGGAGGGGATGCGAGGGGAGAGGAGGGGATGCGAGGGGGGAGGAGGGGATGCGAGGGGGGAGGAGGGGATGCGAGGGGGGAGGAGGGGATGCGAGGGGAGAGGAGGGGATGCGAGGGGAGAGGAGGGGATGCGAGGGGAGAGGAGGGGATGCGAGGGAGAGGAGGGATGCGAGGGGAGAGGAGGGGATGCGAGGGGAGAGGAGGGGATGCGAGGGGAGAGGAGGGGATGCGAGGGGAGAGGAGGGGATGCGAGGGGAGAGGAGGGGATGCGAGGGGAGAGGAGGGGATGCGAGGGGAGAGGAGGGGATGCGAGGGGAGAGGAGGGGATGCGAGGGGAGAGGAGGGGATGCGAGGGGAGAGGAGGGGATGCGAGGGGAGAGGAGGGGATGCGAGGGGAGAGGAGGGGATGCGAGGGGAGAGGAGGGGATGCGAGGGGAGAGGAGGGGATGCGAGGGGAGAGGAGGGGATGCGAGGGGAGAGGAGGGGATGCGAGGGGAGAGGAGGGGATGCGAGGGGAGAGGAGGGGATGCGAGGGGAGAGGAGGGGATGCGAGGGGAGAGGAGGGGATGCGAGGGGAGAGGAGGGGATGCGAGGGGAGAGGAGGGATGCGAGGGGGGAGGAGGGGATGCGAGGGGAGAGGAGGGGATGCGAGGGGAGAGGAGGGGATGCGAGGGGAGAGGAGGGGATGCGAGGGGAGAGGAGGGGATGCGAGGGGAGAGGAGGGGATGCGAGGGGAGAGGAGGGGATGCGAGGGGAGAGGAGGGGATGCGAGGGGAGAGGAGGGGATGCGAGGGGAGAGGAGGGGATGCGAGGGGAGAGGAGGGGATGCGAGGGGAGAGGAGGGGATGCGAGGGGAGAGGAGGGGATGCGAGGGGAGAGGAGGGGATGCGAGGGGAGAGGAGGGGATGCGAGGGGAGAGGAGGGGATGCGAGGGGAGAGGAGGGGATGCGAGGGGAGAGGAGGGGATGCGAAGGGAGAGGAGGGGATGCGAGGGGAGAGGAGGGGATGCGAGGGGAGAGGAGGGGATGCGAGGGGAGAGGAGGGGATGCGAGGGGAGAGGAGGGGATGCGAGGGGAGAGGAGGGGATGCGAGGGGAGAGGAGGGGATGCGAGGGGAGAGGAGGGGATGCGAGGGGAGAGGAGGGGATGCGAGGGGAGAGGAGGGGATGCGAGGGGATGCATGATTGAATGTGTGCCACCACATGTGCACGATGCTCCACTTCACGGCCACCGCACGCGCCTCCTCTTGTGACTAGGCTTGGCTGTGGGTATGTATGAAATGAACGAGAGCGCGAGACGCATGCTTTGTATTGCATGTGTGCATGATTGCATGTGGTGCATGATTGCATGTGTGCATGATTGCATGTGTGCATGATTGCATGTGTGCATGATTGCATGTGTGCATGATTGCATGTGTGCATGATTGCATGTGTGCATGATTGCATGTGTGCATGATTGCATGTGTGCATGATTGCATGTGTGCATGATTGCATGTGTGCATGATTGCATGTGTGCATGATTGCATGCGTGCATGATTGCATGTGTGCATGATTGCATGTGTGCATGATTGCATGTGTGCATGATTGCATGCGTGCATGATTGCATGTGTGCATGATTGCATGTGTGCATGATTGCATGTGTGCATGATTGCATGTGTGCATGATTGCATGTGTGCATGATTGCATGTGTGCATGATTGCATGTGTGCATGATTGCATGTGTGCATGATTGCATATGTGCATGATTGCATGTGTGCATGATTGCATGTGAGCATGATTGCATGTGTGCATGATTGCATGTGTGCATGATTGCATGTGTGCATGATTGCATGTGTGCATGATTGCATGTGTGCATGATTGCATGTGTGCATGATTGCATATGTGCATGATTGCATGTGTGCATGATTGCATGTGAGCATGATTGCATGTGTGCATGATTGCATGTGTGCATGATTGCATGTGAGCGTGAGCGCATGTGAGCATGAGCGCATGTGAGCATGAGAGCATGTGAGCATGAGAGCATGTGAGCATGAGAGCATGTGAGCATGAGAGCATGTGAGCATGAGAGCATGTGAGCATGCTAGTCATTCACTCCATTCCAGCACGCACGCACCTCCTCATGCACCTCAGGCGTGAGCACAAACGAGAGCTCGTGAGCGAAGAGCACCACCATGATCGCCACGCCCAGAAGAGTCACTGTGGGGTCGGAGAGAGGAGAAAGCGGGGTGGAGGGGATGGAGGGGTGGGTGGTGACTGAGCGGTTGGAGGGGGTTGATTGTGCGCTGTGGGGTCACCTCGAGCGTGAGCATGAAGAAGAACTCGTGGAGAAGGGCGGGAGGGGGAGAAGGGGGGAAGGAGGGGGACGCGGGGACGGGGAGAAAGGTGGGAAAGGGGGAGAGGGGGGGCTTGTCTGCCAATGTGATGGGCGGGCGGGAACGTCCAGCAGCGCCACTGTGCTGCTGAGAAAGGGTGCGACAATGGGATGGGTGGAGGAAGGGTGGTTGTGTGGAGCCGAGCCCCTCAGGCCTGAGCACAAAAAAGAGCTCGTGAGCGAATGGCACCACCATGGTTGCCACACCCAGCCCAGCAGAGTCACTGTGCCCAGGCTGGAGGAGGAAGGGGGAGGGGGGATGGGGAGCGAGCGGGGGGTGGTTGTGTGATTGCGGGAAGCACCTCCGGTGTGAGCACGGAGGAGAGCTCGTGAGCGAGCAGCAGCACCATTATTGCCCCACCCAGCAGAGTCACTGCGCGTGGGGTGGAGGGTGGGGGGAGAGGAGGAGGGGAGTGGTAGGGGGGAAATGGGGGAACGGCACCGCCATGATCACGAGGAGAGTCACATGCAAGGAAGGAGGGTTAGCACGAAGGACAGCTAGGATGGGGAGGCAGGGATTGCACCGCCTGGCTAGGTGTGGCAGGGATTGCACCGCCTGGCTAGGTGTGGCAGGGATTGAACGAGGGCGGAATGGGACGAGTTACGAGAAGGGTGGGGTGGGGGAGCCCTGGGGGCCCTTACGCGTGACCCTGGAGGCCCTTACGCGTGACCCTGGGGGCCCTTACGCGTGACCCTGGGGGCCTGCACCGATGGCGCCCGACAGCGTCTTGTGCGTGAGGTGGTCCTCCTCCTTGGGGAACGCGCGTGCAGCACAATCGACACTCTTAAGAGCGCCGGTAGCCCCACTGTATGGACGCCCTAAGCTTTACCTACACTGCTGCAGACGTATCGATGGCGCCCGACAGCGTCTTCTGAGTGAGGTGGGTGGTCTTCCGCCTTGGGGAACGCTGTCCGTCGCCACTCCTACCCTGGGAAGACCTGACCCTTAGCCCCACCGTATAAGCCTCAAAGCCTTACTATTGACACTCCAATCCAATTCCGCGTACCGATGGCGCCCGACAGCGTCTTCTGAGTAAGGTGGTCCTCCGCCTTGGGGAACGCGTGCAGCTTCGAGATCGCGCCCCATTTCCCGCCCATCGCGAATCACTCGCTTGCCAAACCGATCGCTCTCGTGTCCGATCAAGCGCTCTCCCTCCGCTGACCGTTGCGCCTCGCCTTTCACGAAAATCGGTTGGATTCAGAGCGTTCGTGGCGGAACGGCTTGTGCTTTCGCGGTGCTGGCCGGCGAGGCTGAATCGCGCGTACGCCGCTACGGAACGGATTCTACGATAAATGAAGAATGAGTTCGTGAGCTACTGAAGTGCTTGGGGCGCCGTAGTTTGGTTTGGTGTGGTGGCGACGACCTAGCTACCCTAAAAGTAGGAGAAATTGGAGGGAGAAAAAGCTGCTGGTGTGGATTTTGAAAAATGCCACGCGATGCCTGAAAGCGTGTGGTATTCGAACCTCTCAAGATTCCTTCTCGAAGTTTTTAATCGACGGTTCAGTGAGTTACAGCTCGCTTTAGAGCAGTAAAATGCTCTGCAATCACAAGCACATCCTGCTTACAGCCCTCGTGGTCAAAGTTCCTGCATAAGTGGCGTTGTTAGAAAGGCGATAAAATTAAACTAAAAAGCAACATTGCAAGGTAAAGGCCCCAATCCCCCTAAAAAAAATCCAAGCAGCTACAGAAATTCAGTCATTGTACTGTAACAAGTGCTCAAATGAACTCAATAATCCAAAAGCATTTCAAATCACTGAACAAAATCAGTGTGGGCCACTGTTTCATCCGAGCCATGCCATCTGAAAGGTCTTTCGATGTAGGGCCCAACAAACCAGTGGTTAGCGCATCATGTCTCATCAAGTTGCAACGAGTTGCATTGTGGTCACTGTACATAAGGGCAGCCCATGCCGCCCACTCCACCGCCGTTGTCAGTAAGAAAGTGGGGCCCTCCTGATGAGAGCCACGCACAGAGGGTCCCTTCCCTCCTGCTTGCTTCTCCACACCACCTTACACCCATGTTAGAATCACCCTCCCTTCCTCCCACCTATCCCCGGACCAATTGCTCTTCCAGCGACGGATACTTGCACCTCTCAAGCAGCAGGCAGCTCATGTGTCAGTGCAGCTTCCTGCTGTCATCGCTCCCGTGGTCACCCACCACCCAGTCAGTCAGTTCCACCTTCATCCACCTTCCCCCTCCCCTATCCTCCTCCACTCTCCTCCTCTTCCCTTCTCCACCACCGCCCTCCACCACCCAGCACCACTGCATCATCATCAGCCTCTCAACATCCACATTTCCCCATGAGCACACACACATCCATCCACTCTCCTTCCCGCCCTCACTCCTTCCAAATCCGCCCCGTGAATCGCAGCTTCAGCTCCTTCCCATTGCCCCCCGAGAAGAACAGCGCCATGGTCCTCTGAATAATCAGCCCGTCACGCAAATCCCGCACCTTCCGAATTAACTCAAACGTCACTCCTTCCAAATCCGCCCAGTAACTCTCAGCTTCAGCTCCTTCCCATCGCCCCCTGAGAAGAACAGCGCCATGGACCGCTGAATGATCAGCCCGTCATGAGAATCCCGCACCTTGCGGTGGCTGTCCCGGATGCTGCGCGGCACGCCCTGCCACATGAGCTTGCGCCCGTTGCCGCCCACCTCCAGGCTGTACCCAAACGCCTTGGCGTCCGCGTCGTCCCCCATGAAGCGCAGAAACGCCATGTAGACCGGGGCGCTGCCTAGCTGAAACGCCTCGAAGTGCAGACAGAAGTGCTGCCCGAAGCAGTTGAACACCTGGGGACGAGCGCACAAGGGGGAGGGGTTGAGGGCGAGAAGCGGGTAAATGGGTGTTAGATGTCTTAAACGAAAGGGGGAAAGGGGAGTAAAGGGAAGGAAAGCGGAGTGGGGGGGAGGGGGAGGTCGGGAAAAGGGAGAATGGGGGGTAATTCCTTGCTGTGAGCAGAGCAATGAGCAACGGTCTTGCAACACCAAAAACCATGACACGCACCACCACACCCCCTCATTCACACACCTCACGTACTCCACCCACCATCCCTGCACCATCTGGGAAATGGAAACGAGGACACGACTCTCTCACTCACCGTGAGCATCCACGTGGCGTTCTCCACCTCCTGCGGGTTCTGCTTGACGTAGCGATGGTTGAACGTGCTGCCATTGTGCATGTCCACCTTGTGATCATCCCGCAGGTGCGCCACCAGCGCCAGCACGTCCCCCGTCACCGCGCACTCCGACCCCGCGTACGGGCAGCAGTACGGCCGGAACGCGCACAGCGCCTCGTGCTTCACCTTGCAGTAATAAGGCAAAATTTCTGGGCAGCCGAGCGTGTGGTGCTTGCAGGGCAGCTCGAGGGACTCGGCGACCTTTTCGAGCGCGAGGCAGCGAATGTTGCCCAGCTCGTAGCGGCACGTGGGGCAGCGGTTGTGCACGCGCGCCTTGCAGTGCGAACACAGCGTGTGGCCGTTGGGGCACTGGGGGGGGTGCGGGGAGGAGAGCGCGACGAGAGCGCGTGGCGATTGGGACAATGATGTGCAGGTGGGAAGGGTTGGTGCAAGTTTGAATTTACATTGACTGCAAGGCGGAGTTACTGGTCAGGTCTGAAATGCCCTGGGAGCGTGAGCGACTGAGAGTGTGAGCGATTGAGAAAAGTAAGAGCTTAATCGAGCGAACGTCAAAAGAGTCAGCGACAACATTGGGTAACGCGTGGGAAGTCAAACAAAGCAGTCGAGAGAAAGCTCAGCTCGCGACGTCGCAACGATTCAGAGCAGAGTTCCAAGGGGAATCTGCTTTAAGGAAAACAAACAAAACTGAATCTGAACACTTCTTTACAGACTTGACATCGAGTTACACGTGAAAAGTGGCGTTTACAAATGGAAGGCGAGCTCACCTGATGAATGGGAGGGAACATGGAGTTGGTGCAGACGGGACACTCCAGTAGCTCGTGCACCCCGCCAGACGACATCACGGCGACTGGAGGCGACGTTTGCGACGGCGAGTTACCAGACGCTTTCACCGAGGAATGCGAAGGGTGTAGTACTGTCGATGATCCCGGTGTGGCTCCAGACGACGATATGGGCTTGCCATGGCTTCTGGCCTGGCCGGAAGACACGCCGCCTTCTTCGGAGTCGTAAGTGAGCGAGGACGAGGCGTCCTCGCTAACAGACATTTCCGCCATCAAGTCGGCTAGGTCCGTTTCACGGCCTGGAGGCATTGTTTCACCTACTCTGTTCGCCTCGCTCGGACCAAGTACTTGGCTATTGACTCGGGATTCGTCGAAACGGATTCATTGGAAATGTTAACGATGGTCGTGAATACGTTGATGCGAGTGTGAGGGGAATGAAGCCCTCGGTTCGCGGAATTAACTTGACGAGGCGTGGGTTGTGGAAACCATGACGCCTCGCCTACTGAGTGTGTAAGAACGAACGTGCTATGGACTTAAAAAAAAAATAACGAGACAACCTCTATGCTGCACAACCTGAAGTCAAAGCCTGGGAAGACTAGAAACTGAATGCTAGGAAGATAAGAGGAGCTTGAAAAGGTTCTGCGAAGAAGAATACACACTGCAAATCTCAACTGTGGTGGTGCGGGGGGGAGGAAACCCTAAAAGCACGGAGGGGGAGGAGACTGGTGTGGTGTGGTGTGTGGTGTGGAGCAGATGACGATGATGTGCTGCTATGGATGGGTTGGGGGTTGGCTGGGCTGGGCTGCATGATGTGACCATGGCAGGAGGGCACCGACGAATGAGGCAGATTCCAGTTCGGCACGGCGTCGTTATCGGAGTTTCAGCGCGTTTCAAAATGTTTCTGTGCGGTTTCTAGAGCTGAAGTAGCCAACGTGTGCGCGTCATTTGTTGGATATCGCTTAATCATTAAATGCACTCAGAGGTAGTTACCCTGGTATACTAGCTTTTGAGGATGATGGATAGGAACACCCCTGCCACCTCAGGAAGCTGGGCGCGGCAAGTGAACCATTGTTACATCGAAGCTGGTTTCGAAAGTGCCTGATTCAGTTGATGAGACTACCCTCGGAGGATACGGCTCATACTTTCGTGGGCAGGAGCGGTAACTATTCTCGCTATGTTTTTAGGGTATTTTGTGTTCGTCGTGAATGTTGTCCAACCAGTCGTAGTTGGTAGAATTCTGTACAGTGCAATGGAAGACACCGCCCTTGCTATTCTACAACCAGGCCCGGCTCCCACACCTGGTTGTAGGGCTTGTCTCAATATAATTACCATAGAGTTCCTTCTATCTACGAATTATAAAAAATGGGGGGGGGGGGGGAGGGGGGTGGCACTTAACACCCAGTCGGTGGCGTAGAGTAAACTTGAGAGGTCATAAATAGGGGTGCATAGTGACTGAAATAGACCCGGCGTCTGTAATGCGAGCAATCAAACCTGCAGCAAAAGACCCATACACTCATCAGCATACGGTAATCTGGTCTGAAGCTTCATTAATTCCTGTTACGAATAGTAAAAGATGAAGTATTACTGTGCACTCCTAATCGCAGCAATCAAAACATGCAGTACCGAGGCTGAAGACGAAAAGCCGGAAGTGACGTGAAGGGTCGTACGGTTACGAAACATCTGGACCGTCAGGGGACACAGCATCAGGCAGCATCAGTGGCGAGGATTCTGCCCAGGCGGTTCGTATTCGTCTAGAGTCGCACGGTTAAGTTTTGCTGCAGTACGGGAATTTACCCCTTAGAGTACATGGCTAGCTAGGTCGTTTCTTATCCACCTTGTACTCTTATTTATATCCATGTATTTGCATGTTATAATCATCTCAAACATTTTACATTCACTCTGTTTTGAGGTCAAGGGCCCACCACTACCAATCAGCTGTGTGCGAACTTTCCTTAGGTGATCCTAGGGTCGATCAACTTTTGATCGCAGCATGGTATGAGAGCGACTCGGGAATCCTTCGCACTGCCACCTCCGGGCGAACGGAAAGTGGCGTCCGGCACACGCTCACGTGTGAGAATGGCCGGAGGATCTGGTGGTCATACGAATCTGACGGCTGAAGCGCAGCCCAATCCGGCTGCGACAAGCGAGGAAACGACGACAACTGGAACCGGCGTTCTCGCACAATTGCTTCAACGACTCACCAGCTTGGAGCAAGGACTCCAAACATTGCGGAATGGCGACGCCGGGAACTTCTTCCCAACCCTCTCAACTGGCCACAATACCGCCCCGCACACCTTCTCCCTCGACACAAATGGCTCTACTCCCAAGACCCCCTGTCCCAGCGAAGAAGCAATTCTCTCTGCGCAATCAAGGTTTTTGAGCATATCAAAAATAAAGACAAGTGCGTGCTTTGACGGCAGAGACTTCTATACGTGGAGCTTCGAGCTGGAGCTTCTGCTGCAAAACGCGCAGATATTTCACTATTTCGACGAGAGCTACTCGGGACCTGTTGAAGACACCGCTGACGCCCGGGCTCAGTACTACAACGAGTCACTGATGGCGTACGGCGTCCTCCTGCGGAACATGTCGCCGGCGGAGCAGTTGAGCATTCGTTCGTTCAAGACGACCTCCACTCCAGCCCTCGACGCATGGCGCCACCTGAACGGTGTGTACCAACCGAAAGATTCGGTTTCATCGAGCCGCCTGCTCCAGCAGCTACTGGAGACTAAAATGGCCCCAGGGGAGAAGGCCAACAGCTACACCAATCGGTGTCGGAGCTTACGCGATCAAATCGCAAAACTGGGGAGCACGATTTCATAGGAGATTTTCGTGAATATCGTGCTTCAAGGACTCGGCCCAGAGTGGCGGCCCCGTAAGGCGCTTCTCCGACAGCAGGGGGTCATATCGGAGGCCGCCCTATGCGCCGCCCTTCTCGTCGAACAAAGGGATATGGATCAGCAGCGACCAGCGCCGCGACGAGACCAGGAACGCCTCGCCTTCTACGCCGACAACACAAAAGAGCGACAGCCGCGGCGCCTTTACTGCAAAATCTGCAGAAACTTCGGGCATCCGACAAATCGATGCAATTTCCGATCTCGCCCTCGCCAGACCAATCGGAGCAACTGGTCCGGCCGACAAGACGCACGAAACGACACGCGTCAAGCCCAGGGGCACCAACCCCCATCGCGCAACCTGAACCCAGTGGTTCAGCATCAGCAGCAGCAGCCGTCACAGACTGCCCCCGTCCGCAACGTCATGGGCAACATGACGATGACAAGCGGATCGCATCGTCCCCACGTGCGCTCGACCTCACCTGAGCAAGCACGTCACCCAATCGAAGCGTTCTCGAACAACAATCCGTTCAGCACGCGCCATGACTTCAGCGACGACGACAAACAGGACTGGAATCTCCCGGTCCCGCTGCTTGAAAGCCCCCCACACGTACCCGATACGCGGGCGGCTCCGATCGATTGGGTCTCGCTGCGAACAGTTCCTCAAGTTTGACACACCGCACATCGTTACCCCGCGACTGGTGCTGCTCGCACGTAACGACAACAGGTGCTACAACACGTGGTACCTGGATAGCTGCTGTGGACAACATATGGTGGGCTCTGAGCGTTACATATCCAACACCGTCCCCACTCCCGCCGTGACCTATGTCACCGTGGCAAACAACACACGACTGCGCGCAAGCGCGCAAGGAATCGTGGTGCTCAAGGCTCGAAGAAGCAGGACGCACATCACGCTGAACGACGTGCTGATTGTGCAGAACTTGCGCTTTAATCTTCTCTCGGCGGCGCAACTCATGGACAGCGGAGTTGACCTCAGCACCGACCCCAAGACGCGCAATATCCTGCTCCACTACGCGCCGAACAAGGCGCGCAAGCAAATCGGACGAGCGCACTCCGAAAACGGAGTATACATCATCGATTTCGACATCCCCGACTGTAGCGGCGACTCGCAGGAGCTCATCGATCTCGTCCCCTTGCAGTTTGAGCACATTCACCTATCGGATTGGAAACATCCTGACGGACGACCATGGGTGCCGCATCACCCACACCCACGTGAGCTGGCGCTGCATGACCCTGACGCAGACGGCATTTGCAGAGATTGCCACACGCCCACAACCTCAACACGCGTGATTGCCGATCGTGGCCTTGCCGCCATCGCCGATGCAGAGCGGGAAGCACCGCCTGAAGAAGGGATGTCCAACTTAGAACTCGAAACCGCAACGCGCGGCGTCTTCGGAACGGACGAACATCCCCCTCCACGGACTAGCATCGCAATATCTCCAGGGCATGATGGGCGGCACTGGCGTTGGCACCTTTGATGCGCACGGCGTACCGCGACCTTACACAGAGGAGAAGTTCATGGAGATCTACTCTCACCGGCGCGACTCTACGAAGAAGCTTACCGTGGCGCAAGAAGAGGAACTGGCGCGACGCGAGGCGGAAGAGATTCGCCAACGGAGTCTTGCGAATCACGTGGCACATTCGCCTGGAGCGGATGGGCGGAAGAGAAGAGCGCCTCCGACGAAGGGGGTTGGGGAAGCGCTGGCGGATGGGGCACGAGCGACACCGGCGGATGGGGAGCCAGCAACTGGTGGCAACACTGGCGGATGGAGCGCCGCATCTGGCGGCGAGACAAGCGGCTGGGGCACTTCTGGCGAAGGCTGGGGAGCCTCCCGCGAGGACCAAAAGAAGCGGAACCTCCTGTTGTTCCTCTTGGTCGCCCTCCGCGCCGCCCTGCACCTGCACTACCCCCACCTGACATCCAGTCGCACCGCGACCCCTGGGACGCCATCGACTGGGGCAACAAGCCCTCTACCCCGTGGCGCACCGTTTGCGGGCCTGACCCCGTGACATTCCCTACTCAATCATTCTCGACAGTGAGTACTTGACGCTGATGTTGACCACGACGAACGACGAAGAAGAAGCAGCAGCGGAACCTGCCCCAATACCTGACAAAGACCCTGAAGCAGTGCGCGCATGCTACATGCGCAATTCTGGATTCTGCGCCGACGATTCTCTCTGGCACCAGCGCCTTGGTCACCCCTCGCGCGTGACACTGAAAAATTGCATCGAAGCTGGCGTTTTTTGCGCCTGGCGCACTCCTGCACCCAGACGGCACCGAAGTGAGAAGCACAACACAGCCGCGCAACTGCACCGTCTGCCCCGAAGCTGCGCTGAGTCATCAGCCCTTCCCCATGCTAGATCCCGAAACTAACCGCTACACCAAACTGGAGAAGGTGTACAGCGATTTCCTCAAAGTGGGTCATTGCGGAATCAACGACGAGCTGTACACTCTCA